AAGTGCTTATTAAACACATCAAAATTTTGTTACGCCAATCGTAATATTTGTGACAATGTTAGGGATTTTTTTATTTTTTTTCCATAACTTTGTATCTTAATATTTTGGGCATAAACAATGCTCTAATATTTTTCGCAGACATTATAATTCGTTGATTGCGGTAGAAGAATACTTGAAAATAAAACTTCCAACAGTGAAAAGAAATCAAGCATGGCAGAGAGGAACAACGACGCCTGTTTAAATGTAGCTTTATGAAATTGAACGTAGTTCAAGCACATAGCGTACGCTCGAGGGATAAGGACTCGTTGACCAATGAAAACACGAATGATTACAAGCCTGTCGACGACGATAAAAGCTCTAGCAAGGACGACGCTCCAATGTAGAAACTATCCGTTAGTAAGACGGAGTCTACGGAAGATATGTTCAAAAGAACAATCATTGAATCGTATATACATTTTGGAAGGTCGTTGGCTCAAGTGGAATATAGTAGTGGGAACTGTTCATGATGTTGCTGAAGATATGTAAGAATAACTACCTGTCTCTTTCCTTTAGGATGAGAAACCTGATTTCGAAAGTGAAGAGGAAGCAATCACCAAAAGAGATTTTCAAGAATATTCAAAGGGTACTCTGCAAGCTTTGTATACACATATGGAGTATTGTGAGAAGAGTACTCTAAGGAATGCTATTGAAGAGGGATAGTACAAGGACAACAGGGAATGCCGTGGATTCTCAGTTAGATTGTAGAAGGATTAGTTCACGTTTACTCACAAGTATAGAAAAAAAATATGAACAATTTTCATTTATCTCAATAAATATATATAAAGACTTAATATTTGCTATTTTTCTCTAATTTTTTGCCAATTGGGTACGATTCAAGGAAACGCGTTTTGACATGTTTGGTTTTCTATTGTTACAATTGTGAAATTTCATTTCAATTTTCATATAAACTCAAATTATTTTCTACCGAATTAAATAAGATAAAATGAAGGACAGATATATAAAATTTGAAAATACGTTGCATTTTCTTTTGAAAAATCTTTAAAATCATCAGTGTTTGTAAAAAGACATAGAGAAACTAATTTTTTATGTCTATCAATCAGAAACCTATGTTTTATAATTCCATTTTTGTTGTTGCCTTGATCCTTTTCATTTCTTATTCTTCTCTGGGATATCAGTTTTTAAAGATAGAGGATCCTGTCCGACGTAAAGTTCAAACTGCTTCTGTTATTGGAAAGAACAACACAAGAGGTTTTGAGCTTTCTCCACCAGAGGTGGACATGGGGGTAAAGAAGGTCACACGTATGTACATTCGGTGATATTAAGGAACATTGGTATTGATAGCTGTAGATTCAAAGTACGACAACCTCCTCCATCGACTGGTATCAAAGTTTTGTTCAATCATGGTCCTGTAAGTTTTTTTTTCAATTAATTATACATTCTTAAATACCCTTTCTACCGCTTATAATCCCTAAGTATACCCCTTTACCCTAAGTATAACCTATTCGTGGGTAGTTCAGTATAAATTAGCATCAATGATAATTTCAAGGCATACGACTCGAAAATTTTGCTATTTAAATTATATTTTCACTCAACAGGATTTTGAAACTGACAGCGTATTTTCTAAACAGTGTACGTACATTGCTTCTCATTCTCAAGATATTGAAATTTTATAATTCGTTTACACAATTTTTACATCATTTTGCATTTAACAAAGTTTTAAACATCCTTTGGTTTCGTTGAAATGATCAAGCAATATTTAATACAATTAATTCTTCACAATGAAGGAATTCTGCTCTGTTAAAGTAAAATATCAGCAAATGTACCTGCTATTTCAAATTTTCATTATGCTATGTGACGTCACATGCTGTGTAAAGCGTACAGTGCATAAACTAATATCTTGAGAACAAAATTGATATGAATAAACTGTTTTAGAAGATTTTCATGATAACTTTCAATGAAAATATAATATAAATAGCACAATTTTCCAATCATAAACTCTTACATTGAAAAGAAACAAAGCAATTTCCATTGTGCTGCTTGATCGGCTAATAAACTGAAATGGTTGGGAATGACACGCGTTTTTCAATGAAATAAAACCTGTGTCTTACTTTTTCTTTCGTTGTTGCATTTTTATTTTATAGATTGCAGCAGGCATGACTTGAAAACTAGACATTGAAATGTTTGCTGTAGCTGTTGGTGTATCTGGAGAAATTGGAGATGGATCTGTTGGTCATCACATTGAGATAATTGGCGAAAATGAAATTTTTTATCTTCCTGTGTCGGCCAGTATCCTTTAATTTCATGAATAGTTTGTGTGACAGGAATATTTATATTATAAAATTCATGCTCATACAGAGAATGAGAACAGTCTTTACGCTGCATAAAATATATAAGAAATGAGATGACGTATGTCTGTTTTTTTTAGTGATGAATGAACAACAGAGAATGAGAACATCTTTACACTAAATAAAATATATAAGAAATAAGATAACGTGTGTCTCTGTAAATAAAGATGAATGAACAACAGAGAACAAGAACAGTTTTTACCCGATCCAAAACATAAAAGAAATAAGATAAAGTGTGTCAGTGTAGATAGTGATGAATGAACAACAGAGAACAAAAACAGTCACTTAGTTACAAATCATAGCATTCTTTAATGATATTGTCAGCTATTTTAACCGCTTATGAGTATGACAATCGTTCAAATTCGTTTCCCCAAGGTTATCTCAGTAAAGGAACTCGTATGATTGACAATCGACCACCATCAAGAGACGCTATTCGTCCTCGAAGAAATCATATGTATTCTGATGTTTCCAAACAATTTTAAACTTCATAGATTGTTTTATGTATTCTGCGTATAGTTTTTTACCATTGAGTAATTTTAATTACATAAATTATAAATTATATTTATATCTTCTTGTGACCCGAAAGTTAAATCGCTTTCAAAATTATGGCATCAATTTGTATGATTTAGGGCTGATTACATGAGCCCGGTAACCTGAATTCAGAGAGGCGGGAAATGATTTTGAGTCATCGAAAGGAGCAAAAATTTTAAGCGCAAAACTTTTCTTATGCGTTAGTTGTAACTTTCAAATCATGCACAATTATTTGTTTTCATTTTAAAGATTTTGTAAATTTGCAAAGTCAGAGCATAGAGAAATTGCTCAAACAAGTTTTTTGTCGTGAAGTATTTAATCTTTTCTATTTGCCAAAATGATTTAACGCTTCGATGAATCCCGGCTACCCTTAAATTTGTATTCGAGTTGTATTTATTGGTTTTAAGTGATTTTGACTACCATTGATGGTGTTCAAAGCGTGTATTGTTCATGGTCAGCGAGGGAATAAAGAAAAGAATAAAGCTATTTAATTGTGAAGTCTGTTTTTTAATTTATTCATTGAACCTGTGTATGAATTTGCTTTGCAAATACATATGGTAGTTTTACTGTCGTCAAAGTTTTCGATGGTTCATAAAAGTTTTCAAAGTTAGTGGAAAGGACGTTGTCTATGCGAGGAAAAGACTGTCAACACAACAGGACATAAAATGTGAGGATGGAATAAGCTAAAGCTTAGAATAACAAACTTCGAGAATGTGAAGAAAAAAGCGAAAGATTTACTTGTTTCTTAAGTATTGACGATGTAACAGTCGAAGAAGATAGCTATTAACAACTGGCTTGGTAAACTTTCCCTCGAGGTAATGTAATTTTAATCAACTTTAAAGCGGTAACATGCAGCCATTAACGTTTTGCACTCACCAGAACTGTGAAGGATTCAAGTGATGAAAAGTCAACCGAAACAAGTTAATGCAATTTCTACACTTGACTGGCAAGAAGAGTGAAATGTTGAAATAAGGCGTATTAGCTCTAATACTAATTAAGGATGTTTAGTCCAAACGTTCCTCGTAAATATATTGATGGTTTGCAAAGGTTTGTGGGATGGAGTGAAGACAACCGTGGTGTCGACTTTTGTGTATTACAGAACAAGCAGGGTTAAGGTTTTGAAGAAGACACCAGTTATTATCTTTATTTTCCCTCTCACATTTGTTTCTGTTTTAGGTTCTGGACTAATCGTCGATAACATGAGAAAGTTCATAGATGTAAAACCATTAATCTCCTGTCCTAAAGTCTTGGTTTTTGGTCATGTTGTTCAATATAAACCTTCAGACAGTTTACATTGCCAAACCATTTCACCAACATCCATCAATATGGCGACTTCGTCTATTTCAACGTGAGAGACATGACTTTGAAGATATGCAAAAAGAGATCAAAATTAGCAAGTAAATTGGTTAAAAAAGTAATCACTGTTTAATCATAAAATAGTTATTGATATTCATGACGTGAGATTGACTTTATAAATTTTTATTACATAAAGAAATCAAGGAAGATTCTTTAAAGAACTTTGCTCTCTATGTAAGAGACTGTTTACAGTTTAGAATACAGTTGGAAGACTGTTGAGCAGATAAAACAAAGGCAATTTATTCACTAGTTATGTCATAGTGAACATAAATTAAAGACAAGCTAAACACCTTTCATAAAATTTAAGCCTATTTTATACAACTAATTTTATTAAGTTATATTTTGTATTACACTACGTATATACTATACACTACACATTGGTTTTAAAACTATCTTATATAATCCAAGAACCTTAAATATTCGAGGAACAGCAAAATTTCATCATTATTATCGCAAGAATAGTCTTCAACATTAAAAAAAGTAGTAAGGTCAAGGACCACGACACTGAGTGAGAGAAAATGCTTCCCCGCATCCTCGTCCCAGTCGGCCTCACGATTTTATAAAACAGCTAAACTTATTCAAGGCTCTATAGTCTATAGGAATACATCTGAGTAAATTAACCATTTACAATAATTTGAGTAGATAATTTAAAATGATAACGTCATTCTGTCAGAAGATTCAATTTTTAAAGTTTCTATCGGCGTCGCTTTTAGAGACCATTAGATGTTTTTAGTGTTACGAAATAATGTTCTTTCTCTTTTCTATGAATTACCCAGATAAATTGCAACACCGTGCAAACAGTAGCTTGAAAGATCTTCTGTATTCCTTGTCACGTATTCCATATATAAAAGCATTTGTGACGGAGTTTGTTGCGGCCACAAGTATTGCTACACGAAGTACGTTTAAAGAAATACAGCCACCATTACAAATGACAAACTTTATAAACACCATCACAGAAAATGGTGTTATACAGAGTAAAAAATATCCAAAAACGACACGAATTGTTTTGAAGAGTTTAAACTGTTGTGAAGTTTTTCGTGAGTTAAAATCATCTGTAGCGGTTGAATCACTTGTTTGTAGTGATGAAGCTTGTGCTGCTGTTTTTCGACTTTGGTTTCGAGCAATTTGTATAGTTTTCACATTGAAAACCATGATAACACCAAGTGGAAGAAGAAAGAATAAAATAGTGCAAATTGAAACAACTATTTCGCTTGGATAACATTCAAATGGCATTTTGGAACTTTTTGTATTGAAAAACACCATAATGAAATTAAGAAAACCAGTGATCCATGCTGAAGCCAAAGCTATAGACACCTTTTTTTGGGTGACAATTTGAGGATACTTTAGGGGTAATGCAATACAAATGTAACGATCAATTGTGAGCATCATAAGATTCACATATGATGTCGATATGGTCGCGTACCAAAGGGAATATTTCAGTTTACAAGGTACAGATAGTTTGGTTACTCCCATCAAAAGTTGAGTTACCATTACAATACACAATGGAAGAGAGATCCCACAAACGACAAGATCTGAAACAGCCAAATTTATAACAAAATAGCTGCTTGTATTTTTATTTGTGTTCCAACGAACATTGTACAATATCACAAAAATGTTTCCTGTAACTCCAATAATTACACACAATGATTGAACCGTTACGTCAAATATTGCAAACGCTTGAGACTGCTCAATATTTGTATGATTCATTTCTTTTACACACTCTTTATTGCCGTTTCTTAGTACGATTGAAGGAACAGCTTTATATAGTTTCCCTTTAAGTTGTCAAATACCAGCTGAACTGTGCGCATCATGGCAACGCATCAACACAACGCAGATGCGCTCTTAAAAGTTCATTTAGAGGACAAATAAAAACAATTGACATAAAAACAATTTTTTACGATATTTTGACAATTAAAATATTTTAAATAAAATTATTTTAAATTGTAGAGTTCCAAGTTGAAAACTGTCGAGTGTGTAATATAAGTGTGTTAAAAACGACACGATGGATATATTATTGATGGAGTTTTGGTTATTGCTATGAAAAAATAATAACTTATAAAATTTTCTAACTTTTTAACATTGTAGAGGCGCACATGTAAAAGTTTCTCTACAGCTTGTTTATACTATCTTAATTGAAATGTCTTGTTGCAAACCCCCTGTGGCTTTTTTATTGAAAATATGTTAAAGTAAGATACATTTTCTGTTTTTGTTCATATAACTAAATTGCTGTATCCCGAGCTGGACGTTGTCTTTAGTTATTACAAGCAATCGTTGAAAAAGTGAAATATATATTAACAATAAAATAGAGACTTTGTCGTGGTGACAAATCTGAAAATATTTTTAAAGATAGCAAATACCATAGTGAATGGTAAAAGTACTATAATAAGTTGATAGTTTTTATAAAAGAACTGTTTTTAGAAAAGAGCACTAACCCAATAGTTTTAAATTAAACGACAAGATGCATGTGAGCCGACTACTCCTAAGGTGTCAACGTATTGTGCTGATTCTTATTCAGACGACAATTTTAGAATCATTAAGAAATACCGTTCATTTTTTCAGTTAAGCGTCATGAAAGATGTTTTAATTAAGTTAACCAATCCCGTCCTCCGCCGACAAAAGGATTATGTTTTTAATTTATCCCTGTTTTAAGCGTCATCTTCGCTTTTGGACATGGCATTATAAATATCGGTAGATTGTAAATTTCATTTAGCAGACGTTGACACTTGAGGAGTAGTCTGCCGAATTGCATCATGTCGTTTAATTTAGAACAATTGAGTTAGTGCTCTTTACTTAAAACAGTCTTTTAAGAAATACTACCTTATTACTTTTACCATTCACTATGGTATTTGCTATCTTTAGAACTAAATATTAACACTAAAAATAAAGTCTCGTAGCTATAAGAACATGATATGACTTCGTGTAGAGAAGTTAGAATCACTTTTTTGCATATTTTGTATACGAAGATAAATGTCCAACTGTGTAATGAATTAACTCTGACACATCATTACTACCCCTACACTCCCAATGTGACAATTCAATGAAATTAAGACAGTTTGAGAAATTTTTCGCAATTCGCAATTTCAGAAATGTTTACTGTTGTTTACGTGTTACGAAATATGTATAAATACGAAATGTTTTGTAAATATGCACATCATCAAAATTAAAAAGACGAAACTATGATTGTAGAACTATTTTTTAACCCCGACAAATAAACTTCTTTCAATAGAATTATATTATGTACTGCCCGCGTTTTACGAAGGAGATCACGCGACAAAATTTTGTGATTTGAGAGCTCTTGTTTATCGTGCTACAAGCGTGTTAAACAATTATTGAGCTACGTTTATCCTGACATTTTTAACACAAGATGTGTTTTTAAAAGTTTATTTAGATGGATATTGTGGACTTGTCGTAGTTTGAAAATAACAATATTTTTAATAGAAGTATTTTAAAGTGCATTCATTTATATTTTATAAATGTTTACGTTTCAAGCTTAAAAATTAACGAATGAAATATAAATGCATCAAAAGAAAGAAAGAGTAGTTGCATATTGTTTGTGATGCTATAGTTAGTTGTTGCCATGACTATGAACGGTTAGTCGAGTGGACTAACATGCTCGAGTGCATGCGCAGATGATTTCTCTATTTAATTGTTACTAAGCATTCTATAACTTCAAAATTGGTACTAGTAGATGCAGTTGATCGTTGCCATGAACATGAACTTGCGCAGCTGCTCAAGTCGACAGCGCATGCTCAAGCAGACTGCGCATGCGCAGATTAATAATCTGAAAATTTATGACTGAGCGCTCTTATTACTCCATAATCGGTACTAATACATACAGTTGGTCATTGTCATGATAATGAACTTGGAGAGTTTGTGCAGTTGATTACGCATGCATGCTGAGATTAATTCTCAAGCGAGGGAGCTCTGAAATTGGTGCTTATAGGTGCGTTTATCAAATTTTCAACCATATATTTTTTAAACGTACTTTGTCTTCAATTACTCAATTGTTTTGACAAGTGCTTATTAAACAAATCAAAATTTTGTTACGCCAATCGTAATATTTGTGACAATGTTAGGGATTTTTTTATTTTTTTTCCATAACTTTGTATCTTAATATTTTGTGCATAAACAATGCTCTAATATTTTTCGCAGATATTATAATTCATTGATTGCGGTAGAAGAATACTTGAAAATGAAACTTCCAACAGTGAAACGAAATCAAGCATGGCAGAGAAGGAACAACGACGCCTGTTTAAATGTAGCTTTATGAAATTGAACGTAGTTCAAGCACATAGCGTACGCTCGAGGGATAAGGACTCGTTGACCAATGAAAACACGAATGATTACAAGCCTGTCGACGACGATAAAAGCTCTAACAAGGACGATGCTCATATGCAGAAACAATCCGTTAGTAAGACGGAGTCTACGGAAGATATGTTCAAAAGAACAATCATTGAATCGTATATACATTTTGGAAGGTCGTTGGCTCAAGTGGAATATAGTAGTGGGAACTGTTCATGCTGTTGCTGAAGATATGTAAGAATAACTACCTGTCTCTTTCCTTTAGGATGAGAAACCTGATTTCGAAAGTGAAGAGGAAGCAATCACCACAAGAGATTTTCAAGAATATTCAAAGGGTACTCTGCAAGCTTTGTATACACATATGGAGTATTGTGAGAAGAGTACTCTAAGGAATGCTATTGAAGAGGGATAGTACAAGGACAACAGGGAATGCCGTGGATTCTCAGTTAGATTGTAGAAGGGTTAGTTCACGTTTACTCACAAGTATAGAAAAAAAATATGAACAATTTTCATTTATCTCAATAAATATATATAAAGACTTAATATTTGCTATTTTTCTCTAATTTTTTGCCAATTGGGTACGATTCAAGGAAACGCGTTTTGACATGTTTGGTTTTCTATTGTTACAATTGTGAAATTTCATTTCATTTTTCATATCAACTCAAATTATTTTCTACCGAATTAAATAAGATAAAATGAAGGACAGATATATAAAATTTGAAAATACGTTGCATTTTCTTTTGAAAAATCTTTAAAATCATCAGTGTTTGTAAAGGACATAGAGAAACTAATTTTTCATGTCTATCAATCAGAAACCTATATTTTATAATTCCATTTTTTGTTGTTGCCTTGATCCTTTCTATTTCTTATTCTTCTCTGGGATATCAGCTTTTAAAGATAGAGGATCCTGTCCGACGTAAAGTTCAAACTGCTTCTGTTATTGGAAAGAACAACACAAGAGGTTTTGAGCTTTCTCCACAAGAGGTGGACATGGGGGTACTTAAAGAAGGTCACACGTATGTATATTCGGTGATATTAAGGAACATTGGTATTGATAGCTGTAGATTCAAAGTACGACAACCTCCTTCATCGACTGGTATCAAAGTTTTGTTTAATCATGGTCCTGTAAGTTTTTTGTTTTCAATTAATTATATATTCTTAAATACCCTTTCTACCGCTTATAATCCCCTAAGTATACCCCTTTACCCTAAGTATAACGTATTGCGTGTGCATAGTTCAGTATAAATTAGCATCAATGATAATTTCAAGGCATACGACTCGAAAATTTTGCTATTTAAATTATATTTTCACTCAACAGGATTTTGAAAAGGACAGCCTATTTTCTCAAACAGTGTACGTACATTGCTTCTCATTCTCAAGATATTGAAGTTTTTATAATTCGCTTTACACAATTTTTTACATCATTTTGCATTTAACAAAGTTTTAAACATCCTTTGGTTTGTTGAAATGATAAATAATATTTAATACCATTAATTCTTCACAATGAAGGGAATTCTGCTCTGTTAAAGTAAAATATCAGCAAATGTACCTGCTATTTCAAATTTTCATTATGCAATGTGACGTCAAATGCTATGTAAAGCGTACAGTACATAAACTATAATATCTTGAGAACGAAAATTGATATGCATAAACTGTTTTAGAAGGTTTTTATGGTAACTTTCAATGAAAATATAATATAAATAGCACAATTTTCTAATCATAAACTCTTACATTGAAAAGAAACAAAGCAATTTCCATTGTGCTGCTTGATCGGTTAATAAACTGAAATGGCACGCGTTTTTCAATGAAATAAAACCTGTGTCTTACTTTTTCTTTGGTTGTTGCATTTTTATTTTATAGATTGCAGCAGGCATGACTTGAAAACTAGACATTGAAATGTTTGCTGTAGCTGTTGGTGTATCTGGAGAAATTGGAGATGGATCTGTTGGTCATCACATTGAGATAATTGGCGAAAATGAAATTTTTTATCTTCCTGTATCGGCCAGTATCCTTTAATTTCATGAATAGTTTGTGTGACAGGAATATTTATATTATAAAATTCATGCTCATACAGAGAATGAGAACAGTCTTTACGCTGCATAAAATATATAAGAAATGAGATGACGTATGTCTGTGTAGGTAGTGATGAATGAACAACAGAGAATGAGAACATCTTTACACTACATAAAATATATAAGAAATAAGATAACGTGTGTCTGTGTAGGTAGTGATGGATGAACAACTGCGAATGAGAACAGTCTTTAGACTATATAAAATATTTAAGAAATATGATAACGTGTGTCAGTGTAGGTAGTGATGAATGAACAACAAAGAACGAGAACATCTTTATACCACATAAAATATTTACGAAATAAGATAACGTGTGTCTCTGTAAATAAAGATGAACGAACAACAGAGAACAAGAACAGTTTTTACCCGATCCAAAACATAAAAGAAATAAGATAAAGTGTGTCAGTGTAGATAGTGATGAATGAACAACAGAGAAAAAAAACAGTCAACTTAGTTACAAATCATTGCATTCTTTAATGATATTGTCAGCTATTTTAACCGCTTATAAGTATGACAATCGTTAAAATTCGTTTCCCCAAGGTTATCTCAGTAAAGGAACTCGTATGATTGACAATCGACCACCATCAATAGACGCTATTCGTCCTCGAAGAAATCATATGTATTCTGATGTTTCTGAACAATTTTAAACTTCATAGATTGTTTTATGTATTCTGTGTATAGTTTTTATCATTGAGTAATTTTTATTACATAAATTATAAATTATATTTATATCTTCTAGTGACCCGAAAGTTACAATCGCTTTCAAAATTATGGCATCAATTTGTATGATTTAGGGGCTGATTACATGAGCCCAGTAACCTGAATTCAGAGAGGCGGGAATTGATTTTGAGTCATTGAAAGGAGCAAAAATTTTAAGCGCAAAATTTTCTTATGCGTTAGTTGTAACTTTCAAATCATGCACAATTATTTGTTTTCATTTTAAAGATTTTGTAAATTTGCCAAGTCAGAGCATAGAGAAATTGCTCAAACAAGTTTATTTCCGTGAAGTATTTAATCTTTTCCATTTGCCAAAATAATTTAACGCTTTGCTGAATCCCGGCTACCAGGCTCATGTGAACAGCCCCTTAAATTTGTATTCGAGTTGTACTCGTTTTGAGTGAATTTTGAATAACATTGATGGCGTTCAAAGCGTGTATTGTTCATGGTCAGCGAGGGAATAAAGAAAAGAATAGAGCTATTTATTTGTGAAGTCTGTTTTTGAATTTATTTAGTGAACCAGTGTATGAATTTGCTTTGCAAATACATATGGTAGTTTTACTGTCGTCGAAGTTTTCGATGGTTCATAAAAAGTTTTCAAAAGTTAGTCGTAAGGACGTTGTCTATGCAAGGAAAAGACTGTAAACATAACAGGACATGAAATGGGAGGATGGAATAAGCTAAAGCTTAGAATAACAAACTTCGAGAATGTGAAGAAAATAGCGAAAGATTTACTTGTGTCTTAAATATTGGCGATGTAACAGTCGAAGAAGATAGCTATTAACAACTGGCTTGGTAAACTTGCCGTCGAGGTAATGTAATTTTAATCAACTTTAAAGCGGAAACTTCCTGCGAATAACGTTTTCCACTCACCAGAACTGTGAAGGACTCAAGTGCTGAAAAGTCAACGAAACAAGATAATGCAATTTCTAATTTCGACTGGCAAGAACAATGAAATGTTTAAATAAGGCGTATTAGCTTTAATACTGATTAAGGATGTTTAGTCCAAACGTTCCTCGTAAATATATTGATGGTATGCACATGTTTGTGGAATGGAGTAAAGACAACCGTAGTGTAGGTTTTTGTGTATTACAGGACAAGCAGGGTTTAGGTTTTGAAGAAGACACATGTTATTATCTTTATTTTCTCTCTTACATTTGTTTCTGTTTCAGGTTCAAGACTCTAAACTCTTAGTTTTTGGTCATTTTGTTCAATATAACCTTCAGACAGTTTACATTGCCAAACCATTTCACCAGGGGCGGATCTAGAGTATGTCAAATCCGTCGCGCGACTGATGTTTGAAACTCAAAAATTACCTATTCATATTAGTTAAAAATTCATTAATTATTCTTACTTTATTATCGCATTTACTTCGTGATAAAAATCCAGCTTTATTTATTATTGAAAACTAATGACTAATCCAATGAATATCTCCTTGGTAACCAGATCAGTTGAATTTTAATTGCCTGGAATAACCGACTGATAAGCGGGGTGGCTTGACTGGTTCGACGGATAAAGGAGTCTATGAACGCCAAAAAACGCTTATTTCATTGGTCAATAGCCAGATCAGTGGACGATCTGGAATAATCTCGACCGATAAGCGGGGTGGCCGGACCTATAAGGGGAGTCCACTTGCTATCGTGTAATTGGTTCATTTAAATTTTTGTCTTACTGTGATTGGTTTGACCTATTTCGACTGATAGCCAACTGAACTAACATAGTCAAGCTCACTGTCTGAATTGAATGTTTGATCGTTTCATAATAATTTTCTAAAGCATGATAGAAACTAAACTACAATCAGATGGAATTTATGGAAATCTTTACAAATTCATATATTGACATGAATGCTGCTTTCCAAACTGGGAATTTTTCAAGAGGGCGAAAAATTTATGGATGAATTGTAAATGCTTGGCAAAGACGATCTCGCGAGCGACATTTCAGTCATTGATGTTCAAAAGCAAGCCAACATTGTTTTGAGTTTTATCAGCAGAAATTTACATCCAAAATCGTAAGTAAAGGACAACTGAAGTGTATGCATGAATGTAATATATCAAAGTCAATTTATGCGAGTGTGTGATGCGATTTATGTTAATATGGCGTATGGTAAGCAGATTGATGCTTCTAAAATTGTTGTTGCCAAGGACTTTTAGCTATGATTTCTTTAATGCTTGGGAATCGTGGCCGTTATATGGCAGCGAAATCCTACATTCCTGCAAATATATTTCAATGGACAAAAAATCTGTAGCCATAAGGCGCCATACTATTATTTACTTTATCATAAACAAATGTTTGGGGCTTTTCAGTTTATGATCATTGATCATTCAATCATTAGACAGTTATACTACATATTGTTTAAGATTTGAGAAAACTAACATTGATTACATGAGAAGCTGTTTACTATAACCTGTGATTTTGAGTCTTCTGATCCATGAAGCTTTTTATTTTGACAATTTGACTGGAATGGTATTAAACCTGAGTATTTCACATACATGAAATGTTGTCCCATGTCACATATTGTCCCCTTTTCTAACTGAACACCTCATGTAGAGATGTAAAGGTGTGTTAATCTACGGCTCATACCAGATTGTTTGCCATAAATTCCAAAGGGCTATTGATGTATGAAAAGCATTTTCTATAAAGTAAAAATGTCTTCCTATGTATGCAGATAAACCTTGAAATTTGGCAAAACAGCAAAGTATTTTTCATGATCACTAGGTAATTCTGATGATCATTATAATTTCTAAACTAAATTATTTCAGATTTACATTTAAACGAGCTTTGATCATATGAAAAGATATTTATCATAACCAGTAAGCATGACACATGAACCAATTTTAACATTCATGTAATTATATAATTAAAGACATGTTGGTTACATTCTGTTTGTATTTGATAATACAATGCTACTAGTGATTGCTATATAGCACACCTTGAAGAAGATAATAGTCAAGTGAAATGCCTAATAATAAACATTTATGGCATTAAGCTGTCCTTAACTGCAAATTTTCACTCTGATACTTTTTGCTTAATCTTTGGCAGAAAAAAATTTTGAGTTTTTTCTCAAAAGGTGAATTTGCTAATACTGATGTGGAGATGGGTAAAGGGTTACAATAAACTTGCATGGTTTGAAGTCTGAGCTTTTCTATATCTATGAACTGTCACTTGTAGTACCAAATTTCTAACTTAACTCATTACATAGAGGTTTGAATGGGGGTCTCTAGGGGGGTCTATGCCTGACAACTTGGTAGAAATTTTTAAAGGCTATATCTGTTTTTGAATATAGCATTATTGTAAAATAAATTTTACGTTCCTAGACATGCTAATGAGCCATATATTTGGCATAATAATGAGCCTAAATATTTGGCAAAACATTCAAGTATTGTTCACTTCATTTTTTTTTTGAAAAAACGTAACCAAAATGTGTTGTATTTACGCAAAAACGATGCCCACAAAATACATTTTGTAATGCTCTAAAACGCTGAAAATGGCATTTTTAAGGCTCTGAAATTCAAAATCTCTCAGGAGAGATAGCCTCAGACCCCCCCAGGTGCAGAGCGCCTCCGACGTTTTATGACTGATGTTTGAAAAATCCTAGATCCGCCCCTGCATTTCACCAGCATCCATCAATATGGCGACTTCGTCTATTTCAAAGTGAGAGACATGACTTTGAAGATATGCAAAAAGTGATCAAAATTAGCAAGTAAATTGGTTAAAAATGTAATCACTGTTTAATCATAAAATAGTTATTGATATTCATGACGCGAGATTGACTTTATGCATTTTTATTACGTGAAGAAACATATTATAGTATTACTAAGCAAAATTCAAAATAAGAGGACAGCTTCAAAATGACATCATAGATGGCTACCCAATTTTACAGGGAAGGTAAAATCAAGGAAGACTCCTTAAAGAACTTTGCTCTCTGGGTAAGAGACTGTTTACAGTTAAGAATACAGTTGGAAGACTGTTGAGAAGATAAAAAAAAGGCAATTTATTCACTAGTTATATCATAGTGAACATGAATTAAAGACAAACTAAACATCTTTCATAAAATTTAAACATATTTTATACAACTCATTTTATTAAGTTATATTTTGTATTACACTACGTATTTACTATACACTACAAATTGGCTTTAGAACTATCTTCTTGTATCATCCAAGATTCTTAAATATTTGAGGAACAGCGAAATTTCATCATTATTATCCAAGATTAATCTTCAACATTAACAAAAGTAGTAAGTCAAGGCCCACGAAACTGAGTGAGAGAAAATGTTTTCTTCATCTTCGTCCTAGTTGGCCTCACGATTTCTTAAAACACCTAAACTTATTCAAGGCTCTATAGCCTATAGGAATACATCTGAGTAAAATAACCATTTACAATAATTTGAGTAGATAATTTAAAATGATAACGTCATCATGCCAGAAGTTTCAGTTTTTAGCAATTTCTTTCGGCGTCGCTTTTAGAGACCATTAAATGTTTTTGGTGTTAGGAAATAATGTTCTTTATCTTTTCTATGAATTACCCAGATGAATTGCAACACCGTGCAAACAGTAGCTTGAAAGATCTTCTGTAATCCTTGTCACGTATTCCATATATAAAAGCATTTGTCACGGAGTTTGTTGCAGCCACAAGTATTGCTACACGAAGTACGTATAAAGAAATACAGCCACCATTACAAATAACAAACTTTATAAACACTATCACAGGAAGTGGTGTTATACAGAGTAAAAAATATCCAAAAACGATACGAATTGTTTTGAAGAGTTTCAACTGTCGTGTGAAGTTTTTTCGTGAGTTTAAATCATCTGTAGCGGTTGATTCACTTGTTTCTATTGATGAAGCTTGTGCTGCTATTTTTCGACCTTGGTTTTGAGAAATTTGTACAATTTTCACATTGAAAACGATCATAACACCAAGTGGAAGAAGAAAGAATAAAATAGTGCAAATTGAAACAACTATTTTGCTTGGATAACATATAAATGGTATGTTGGAACTTTTCGTATTGAAAAATATCATAATAAAGCTAAGAAAACCAGTGATCCATGCTGAAGCCAAAGCTATAGACACCTTTCTTTGGGTGACAATGTGAGGATACTTTAGGGGTAATGCAATACAAATGTAACGATCAATTGTGAGCATCATGAGATTCACAACTGATGTCGATATAGTCGCGTACCAAAGGGAATAGATCAGTTTACAAGGTACAGATAGTTTGGTTACTCCTATCAAAAGTTGAGTTACCATTACAATATACAATGGAAGAGAGATCCAACAAACGACAAGATCTGAAACAGCCAAACTTATGAGAAAATAGCTGCTTGTATTTTTATCTGTATTCCAACGAACATTGTACAATATCACAAAAATGTTTCCTGTAACTCCAATAATTACACACAATGATTGACCCGTTACTTCAAATATTGAAAACGCTTGGGACTGCTCAGCATTTAGATGATTCATTTCTTTTGCACACTCTTTATTGCCGTTTCTTAATACGATTGAAGGAACGGCTTTATATAGTTTCACTTTAAATTGTCAAATACCAGCTGAGCTGTGGGCATCATGGTAACGCATCAACACAACGCAGATGCGTTCTTAAAAATTCATTTAGATGACAAATATTGACATAAAAACATTGTTTTACGATATTTTGACAATTAAAGCATTTTAAGTAAAATTATTTTAAAATGTAGAGTTTCAAGTTGAAAACTTTCGAGTGTGTAATATAAGTGTGTTAAAAACGACACGATGGATATATTATTGATGGAGTTTTGGTTATAGCTATGAAAAATTAATAACTTATGAAATTTTCTAACTTTTTAACAATGTAGAGGCGCACATGTAAACGTTTCTCTACAGCTTGTTTATACTATCTTAATTGAAATGTCTTGTTGCAAACCCCCTGTGGCTTTTTTATTGAAAATATGTTAAAGTAAGATACATTTTCTGTTTTTGTTCATATAACTAAATAGCTGTATCCCAAGTTCGAGGTTTCCTTTAGTTATTACAAGCAATCGTTGAAAAAGTAAAGTATATATTAACAATAAAATAGAGACTTTGTCGTGGTGACAAATCTGAAAATATTTTTAAGGATAGCAAATACAATAGTGAATGGTAAAAGTAATATAATAAGTTGATAGTTTTTATAAAAGAACTGTTTTTAGAAAAGAGCACTAACCCAATAGTTTTAAATTAATCGACAAGATGCATATGAGCAGACTACTCCTAAGGTGTCAACGTATTGAGCTGATTCTTATTCAGACGACAATTTTAGAATCATTAAGAAATACCGTTCATTTTTTCAGTTAAGCGTCATGAAAGATGTTTTAATTAAGTTAACCAATCCCGTCCTCCGCCGACAAAAGGATTATGTTTTTAATTTATCCCTGTTTTAAGCGTCATCTACGCTTTTGGACATGGCATTATAAATATCGGTAGATTGTAAATTTGCATTTAGCAGACGTTGACACTTGAGGAGTAGTCTGCCGAATTGCATCATGTCGTTTAATTTAGAATTATTGGTTTAGTGCTCTTTACTTAAAACAGTTTTTTTTAAAACTATAAACTTATTATATTACTTTTACCATTCACTATGGTATTTGCTATCTTTAGAACTAAATATAAACACTAAAAATAAAGTCTCGTAGCTATAAGAACATGATATGACTTCGTGTAGAGAAGTTAGAATCACTTTTTTGCTTGTTGTGCATACGAAGATAAATGTTCAACTGTGTAATGAGTTAACTCTGATACATCATTACTACCTCTACACTCCCAATGTGACAATTCAACGAAATTAAGACAGTTTGAGAAATTTTTCGCACTTTGCAATTTCAGAAATGTTTACTGTTTGTTTACCTGTTACGAAATATGTATAAATACGAAATGTTTTGTAAATATGCACATCATCAAAATTAAAAAGACGAAACTATGATTGTAGAACTATTTTTTAACTCCGACAAATAAACTTCTTTCAATAGAGTTATATAATTCACTGCCCGCGTTTTACGAAGGAGATCACGCGACAAAATTTTGTGATTTGAGAGAGCTCTTGTTTATTGTGCTACAAGCGTGTTAATCAATTTTTGAGCTACGTTTATCCTGACATTTTTAACACAAGATGTGTTTTTAAAAGTTTATTTAGATGGATATTGTGGACTTGTCGTAGTTTGAAAATAGTAGTATTTTTAATAAAAGTATTTTAAAGTGCATTTATTTATATTTTATAAATGTTTACGTTTCAGGCTTAAAAATTCCCGAATGAAGTATAAAAACATCAAAAAAACGAAAGAATAGTTGTATATTGTTTGTGATGCTATAGTTAGTTGTTGCCATGACTATGAACGGTTAGTCGAGTGGACTAACATGCTCGAGCGCATGCGCAGATGATTTCTCTATTAAATTGTTACTAAGCATTCTATAACTTCAAAATCGGTACTAGTAGATGCAGTTGATCGTTGCCATGAACATGAACTTTTGCAGCTGCTCAAGTCGACAGCGCATGCTCATTCAGACTGCGCATGCGCAGATTAATAATGTGAAACTTTATGACTGAGCGCTCTTATTATTCCATAATCGGTACTAATACATACAGTTGGTCATTGTCATGATAATGACCTTGGAGAGTTGGTGGAGTTGACTACACATGCTCAAGCGACGGAACTCTGAAATTAGTGCTTATAGGTGCGTTTACCAAATTTTCAATCATATATTTTTTAAACGCTCTTTGTCTTCTTAAGCTTGTTTTGACATATGCATATTAAACTCATCAACACTTTGTTGTATATTCTGACTTGTGTCGACGTTGTCCTAACAACTACTACAGGTCGTGACCTGTACGTCAGCGGTTATTTTCACATGTAATTAAACACTTGTTGTGTTGGCTATTGTTAATTAACATGAGAAGATTAACTGATAAAAGTACAGATTTTCACTCCAAAACAGAGCTCTTGTTGCTGAAATTTTCGTCTCTTAGTTGTAGCTTGCTTCAAAAATTGCTTGAGTAAATTTTAAATCCATAATGGCTTCTAAATACGACATGTGAAAATTCATTTCAATTTTCATATCAACTCAAATTATTTTCTACCGAATTAAATAAGATAAAATGAAGGACAGATATATAAAATTTGAAAATACGTTACATTTTCTTTTGAAAAAGCTTTAAAACCTTCAGTGTTTGTAAAGGACATAGAGAAACTAATTTTTTATGTCTATCAATCAGAAACCCATGTTTTATAATTCCTTTGTTTTGTTGTTTCCTTGATCCTTTTTATTTCTTATTCTTCTCTTGGATATCAGTTTTTAAAGATAGAGGATCCTGTCCGACGTAAAGTTCAAACTGCTTCTGTTATTGGAAAGAACAACACAAGACGTTTTGAGCTTTCTCCACCAGAGGTGGACATGGGGGTACTTAAAGAAGGTCACACGTATGTACATTCGGTGATATTAAGGAACATTGGTATTGATAGCTGTAGATTCAAAGTACGACAACCTCCTCCATCGACTGGTATCAAAGTTTTGTTTAATCATGGTCCTGTAAGTTTTTTGTTTTCAATTAATTATACATTCTTAAATACCCTTTCTACCGCTTACAATCCCCTAAGTATACCCCCTTTACCCTAAGTATAAGGTATTGCGTGAGTAACAATCAGTATAAATTAGCATCAATGATAATTTCAAGGCATACGACTTGGAAATTTTGCTATTTAAATTATACTTTCATTTAACAGGATTTTGAAAATGACAGCGTATTTTCTAAAACAGTGACGTATATTGCTTCTCATTCTCAAGATATTGAAATTATTATAATTCCCTTTACACAAATTTTTCTATCATTTTGCATTTAAAAAAGTTTTAAACATCCTTTGGTTTCGTTTAAATGATCAAGCAATATTTAATACCTTTAATTCTTCACAATGAAGGGAATTCTGCTCTAATGAAGTAAAATATCAGCAAATTTACCTGCTATTTCAAATTTTCATTATGCAATGTGACGTCACATGCTGTGTAAAGCGTACAGTGAATAAACTACAATATCTTGAGAAAGAAAATTGACATGCATAAACTGTTTTAGAAGATTTTCATGGTAACGTTCAATGAAAATATAATATAAATATCACATATTTCCTATCATAAGCTCTTACATTAAAAAGCAACTAAACAATTTCTAGTGTGCTGCTTGATGGGCTAATAAACTGCAATGGTTGGGAATGACACACGTTTTTCAATGAAATAAAACCTATGTCTTACTTTTTCTTTGGTTGTTGCATTTTTAATTTAAAGATTGCAGCAGGAATGACGAGAAAACTAGACATTGAAATGTTTGCTGTAGCTGTTGGTGTATCTGGAGAAAGTGGAGTTGGATCTATCTTTCATAAAATTTAAACCTATTTTATACAACTTATTTTATTAAGTTATATTTTGTATTACACTACGTATTTACTATACACTACACATTGGCTTTAGAACTATCTTCTTGTATAATTCAAGATTCTTAAATATTTGAGGAACAGCAAAACTTCATCATTATTATGCAAGATTAATCTTCAACATTAACAAAAGTAGTAAGGTCAAGGACCACGACATTGAGTGAGAGAAAATGTTTCCCCGCATCCTCGTCCTAGTTGGCCTCACGATTTTATAAAACACCTAAACTTATTCAAGGCTCTATATTCTATAGGAATACATCTGAGTAAAATAACCATTTACAATAATTTGAGTAGATAATTTAAAATGATAACGTCATTATGCCAGAAGATTCAATTTTTGCAATTTCTTTGGGCGTCGCTTTTAGAGACCATTAGATGTTTTTGGTGTCACGAAATAATGTTCTTTATCTTTTTTATGAATTACCCAGATAAATTGCAACAACGTGCAAACAGTAGCTTGAAAGATCTTCTGCATTCCTTGTCACGTATTCCATATATAAAAGCATTTGTGACGGAGTTTGTTGCAGCCACAAGTGCTGCTACACGAAGTACGTATGAAGAAATACAGCCACCATTACAAATGACATAATCTATAAACACTATCACAGGAAGTGGTGTTACACAGAGTAAAAAATATCCAAAAACGACACGAATTGTTTTGAAGAGTTTCAATTGTCGTGTGAAGTTTTTTCGTGAGCTCAAATCATCTGTAGCGGTTGAATTACTTCTTTGTAGTTTTGAACTTTCTGATGCTATTTTTCGACCTTGGTTTCGAGCAATTCGTACAATTTTCACATTAAAAACGATCATAACACCAAGTGGAAGAAGAAAGAATAAAAAAGTGCAAATTGAAACAACTATTTTGCTTGGATAACATAAAAATGGTATGTTGGAACTTTTCGTATTGAAAAACATCATAATAAAACTAAGAAAGCCAGTGATCCACACTGAAACCAATGCTATAAACACCTTTTTTGACTGACAATTTGAGGATACTTTAAGGGAAATGCAATACAAATGTAACGATCAATTGTGAGCATCGTAAGATTCACAACTGATGTCGATATGGTCGCGTACCAAAGGGAATAGCTCAGTTTACAAGGTACAACAGATAGTTTGGTTATTCCTATTAAAAGTTGAGTTAATGTTACAATAGTCAGCGGAAGAGTGATCCCACAAACGACAAGATCTGAAACAGCCAAACTTATAATAAAACAACTGGTCGTATTTTTATCTGTATTCCAACGAAAATTGTACAATATCACAAAAATGTTTCCTGTAACTCCAATAATTACACACAATGATTGACCCGTTACTTGAAATATTGAAAACGCTTGGGACTGCTCAATATTTGTATGATTCATTTCTTTTACACACACTTTATTGCCGTTTCATAGTACGATTGAAGGAATAGCTTTATATAGTTTCAATTTATTCCAAAGCCATCATCAGAGTATATATATAATATATTAATCCTTAATATAGTCCTTAATGTCAAACACCAGCTGAACTGTGCGCATCATGGTAACGCATCAACACAACGCAGATGCGTCCTTAAAAGCTCATTTAGATGAGAAATATTGACATAAAAACAATTTTTTTACGATATTTTGACAATTAAGATATTTTAAATAAAATTATTTTAAAATGTAGAGTTTCAAGTTGAAAACTTTCGACTGTGTAATGTAAGTGTGTTAAAAACGACAAGATGGATATATTATTCATGGAGTTTTGGTTATAGCTATGAAAAAACAATAACTTTTGAAATTTTCTAAATTTTTAACATTGTAGAGGCGCAAATGTAAAAGTTTCTCTACAGCTTGTTTATACTATCTTAATTGAAATGTCTTGTTGCAAGCCCCCTGTGGCTTTTTTATTGAAAATATGTTAAAGTAAGATACATTTTCTGTTTTTGTTTATACTGTGTAATGAGTTAACGCTGATACATCAATACTACCCCTACACTCCCAATGTGACAATTCAAAAAATTAAGACAGTTTGAGAAATTTTTCGCAATTCGTGATTTCAGAAATGTTTACTGTTTGTTTTACGTGTTACGAAATATGTATAAATACGAAACATTTTTTAAATATGCACATCTTCAAAATTAAAAAGACGAAACTACTATTGTAGAATTATTTTTTAACTGCGACAAATAAACTTCTTTCAATAGAGTTATATAATTCAATGCCCGCGTTTTACGAAGGAGATCACGCGGCAAAATTTTGTGATTTGAGAGCTCTTGTTTATTGTGCTACAAGCGTGTTAATCAATTTTTGTGCTACGTTTATCCTGACATTTTTAACACAAGATGTGTTTTTAATAGTTTATTTAGATGGATATTGTGGACTTGTCGTAGTTTGAAATAACAGTATTTTTAATAGATATATTTTAAAGTGCATTCATTTATATTTTATAAATGTTTACGTTTCAGGCTTAAAAATTCACGAATGAAGTATGTATGCATAAGAAAAAGAAAGAATAGTTGTGTATTGTTTGTGATGCTATGAAAAGATAATTACTACTTTATAAAAATTTTCATACCTAGTAATGATGTAAAAATTATTTTCATAGGTTCTTTACATTATATAGTGCTTGACGCTGAAAAAGATCAAGGGCAAAATCAAAATAGCTGTTGTTATGCAACTAAGTATCCTGAGTTGATGCCTATTCCTTTCGGCTACACTGAAAAAGATCCAGGGCAAAATCAAAATAGCTGTTGCGATGCAAATAATTATCCTGATTTGATGCCTATACCTTTCGGCTACGCTGCAAGAAATTCAAGAGTTCGGAATGAGTTTGAGAGGTTGCAAATATTTGCAAAAATGAGTGTTTGCTTCAGTTGCCAAGGTAACATTTTATTTCATACAAAATCGTTTAAATAGACGGTGGTTTGGTCATGTGAATGAAATTTTGTACGTGATTTGAAAATGTTTTATATAAACTTATTGTTGTTTTAAATTATATGTTAAAAAGGAAGAAGCTGTTTCAAGCCTTCGCAGTATCCTTTGATTCTCTAATTTGTTTTATGAGAAGAATACTAGTAAAGAATGAGGAAAAATTTAGAAAGCAAAAAAATCAGTTTTCGGTCCATGCCTCCCGATACCCCGAGATAGTTGAGCACTAGAGCGTCTTGTGTTTATAAAGGGAACCAGATAATCCTTGTTTGCCATGAAGCCCATGGATGGTTTGCTCGTGATACATGAGAAATAATAAATGAGAGAGTTAAATCACAAAGAAATAAACCAATAAAAATTGTATAAAACATACTTAAAGTTGTCTTAGATTATAAGTGTCAGAAAAAGTCACAGTGTAAGAAGAAGTTAATTGAAACATTGTTGGTTTATTTATGAGAAGAACTCTTTTAAAGAAAAAGATAAAATTCGAAAGCAAAAAACCCCGTTTTCGGTCCATGCTTCCCGATACCCTCTTATGAGTAAGGCCCTAGAACGCCACATGTTAATGTTTCGGTAGGAGATTTTGGCCCCTCCACGCTATCCTACTTGGGGATTCCGATACGTAGCAAGCTTCCGCCCATCAGACCCCGAGATCACCTGCGATAGGCTTTGCTCAGGGTACGCAGGGAGAGTGCGGTCGCCACCGAAGTTTGGGCGCCTAAGCTACTGCATACTATTTCGCACCCAGATTCCACTACTAGTTGATATCTACTACAACAAGTATTAGCAAATATTATTATATATATATATCACATAAGTTTGAAGGCTTACGAAAATTGTGGTATTATTAGTCAATATTGCGCATGCCCAGGTGATTTCTTTAATACTTTACGACTAAATTAGTTAATTGCCCTAAATTTAGTGCAAGTACATATAGTTAGTCGTTTCCAAGACTATGAATAGTTAGTTGAGTGGACTGCAAATGCTCGACCGCATGCGCAGGTGATTTCTCTATTGAATTGTTACTAAGCATGCTATTACTTCAAAATCGGTACTAGTATATGCAGTTGGTCGTTGCCATGACCATCAACTTGCGCAGCTGGTTAAGTCGACCGGCATGCTCAAGCAGGCTGTGCATGCGCAGATGGTTAATCTGAAAATTTATGACTGAGCGCTCTTATTACTCCATAATTGGTACTAATACCTACAGTAGGTCATTGTCATGATAATGAACTTGGAGAGTTGGTGCAGTTGACTACGCATGCATGCTGAGATTAATTTTCAAGCGATGGAGCTCTGAAATTAATGCTCATAGGTGCGTTTTCCAAATTTTCAATCATATATTTTTAAACGCTCTTTGTCTTTTTAAGCTGGTTTTGACAAATGCATATCAAAGTCATCAACACTTTGTTGTATATTCTCACGTGTGTCGACGTTGTCTTGGCAACTATTTCAGGTCGTGACGTCAAATTCAGTGGTTATTTTCAGATTGTAAATAAACACTTGTTGTGTTGGCAATTGTTAACATGAGAAGATTTACTGATAAAAGTACAGATTTTCACTCAAAAACAGAGATCTTGCTGCTGAAATTTTCGTCTCTTAGTTATAGCTTGCTTCAAAAGTTGCTTGAGCAAATTTTAAATCCATAATGGCTTCTAAATACGACATGTGAAAATTCATTTCTATTTTCATATCGACTTAAATTATTTTCAACTGAATTAAATAAGAAAAAATGAAGGGCAGATATATAAAATTTGAAAATACGTTACATTTTCTTTTGAAAAAGCTTTAAAACCTTCAGTGTTTGTAAAGGACATAGAGAAACTAATTTTTTATGTCTATCAATCAGAAACCCATGTTTTATAATTCCTTTGTTTTGTTGTTTCCTTGATCCTTTTTATTTCTTATTCTTCTCTGGGATATCAGTTTTTAAAGATAGAGGATCCTGTCCGACGTAAAGTTCAAACTGCTTCTGTTATTGGAAAGAACAACACAAGAGGTTTTGAGCTTTCTCCACCAGAGGTGGACATGGGGGTACTTAAAGAAGGTCACACGTATGTACATTCGGTGATATTAAGGAACATTGGTATTGATAGCTGTAGATTCAAAGTACGACAACCTCCTCCATCCACTGGTATCAAAGTTTTGTTTAATCATGGTCCTGTAAGTTTTTTGTTTTCAATTAATTATATATTCTTAAATATCCTTTCTACCTCTTAATCCCCTAAGTATACCCCCTTTACCCTAAATATAACCTATTGCGTGTGTATAGTTCAGTATAAATTAGCATCAATGATAATTTCAAGGCATACGACTCGAAAATTTTGCTATTTAAATTATATTTTCACTCAACAGGATTTTGAAAATGACAGCGTATTTTCTCAAACAGTGTACGTACATTGCTTCTCATTCTCAAGATATTGAAATTTTTATAATTCGCTTTACACAATTTTTTACATCATTTTGCATTTAACAAAATTTTAAACATCTTTTGGTTTGGTTGAAATGATCAAGCAATATTTAATACCATTAGGGAGGGAATGAATGGAATTCCGCTCTTTTAAAGTAAAATATCAGTAAATGTACCTGCTATTTCAAATTTTCATTATGCAATGTGACGTCAAATGCTGTGTAAAGCGTACAGTACATAAACTACAATATCTCAATAAAGAAAATTGATATGAATAAACTGTTCTAGAAGATTTTTATGGTAACGTTCAATGAAAATATAATATAAAGGGCACAATTTTCGAATCATAAGCTCTTACATTGAAAAGCAACAAAGCAATTTCTATTGTGCTGCTTGATGGGCTAATAAACTGCAATGGTTGTGAATGACATACGTTTTTCAATGAAATAAAACCTGTGTCTTACTTTTTCTTTCGTTGTTGCATTTTTAATTTAAAGATTGCAGCAGGAATGACGATAAGACTAGACATTGAAATGTTTGCTGTAGCTAAAGAAAGAGGAGATGGATCTGTTGGTCATCACATTGAGATAATTGCGAAAATGAATTTTTTATCTTCCTGTGTCGGCCAGTATCCTTTAATTTTATGAATAGTTTGTGTGACAGGAATATTTATATCATAAAATTCATGCTCATTCAGAGAATGAGAACAGTCTTTACGCTGCATAAAATATATAAGAAATAAGATAACGTATGTCTGTGTAGGTAGTGATGAATGAACAACAGAGAACGAGAACAGTTTTTGCAATATCTAAAACATATAAGAAATGAGATAAATTGTGTCAGTGTAGATAGTGATGAATGAACAAAAGATTACAAGAACAGTCAACTTAGTTACAAATCATAGCATTCTTTAATGATATTGTCAGCTATTTTAACCGCTTATTTGTATGACAATCGTTCAAATTCGTTTCCCCAAAGTTATCTCAGTAAAGGAACTCGTATGATTGACAATCGACCACCATCAAGATACGCTATTCGTCCTCAAAGAAATCATATGTATTCTGATGTTTCCAAACAATTTTAAACTTCATAGATTGTTCTATGTATTCTGCGTATAGTTTTTTGCCATTAAGTAATTTTTATTACATAAATTATAAATTTTATTTATATCTTCTTGTGACCCGAATCTTACTATCGCTTTCAAAATTATGGCATCAATTTGTATGATTTTGGGGCTGATTACATGAGCCCGGTAACCTGAATTCAGCGAGGCGGGAAAGGATTTTGAGTCATCGAAAGGAGCAAAAATTTTAAGCGCAAAACTTTTCTTATGCGTTAGTTGTAACTTTCAAATCATGCAAAAGTACTTGTTTTCGTTTTAAAGACTTTGTAAATTTGCAAAGTCAGAGCATAGAGAAATTGCTCAAAAAAGTTTTTTGTCGAGAAGTATTTAATCTTTTCCATTTGCCAAAAATGATTTAACTCTTCGCTGAATCCGGCTACCGGGCTCATGTGAACAGCTTAAATTTGTATTCGAGTTGTATTTACTTGTTTTGAGTGATTTTTGACTACCATTGATGGTGTTCAAAGCGTATATTGTTTATGGTCAGCGAGGGAATAAAGAAAAGAATAAAAGTATTTAATTGTGAAGTCTGTTTTTGAATTTATTCAGTGAACCTGTGTATGAATTTGGTTTGCAAATACATATGGTAGTTTTACTGTCGTCGAAGTTTTCGTTGGTTCATAAAAAGTTTTCACAAGTTAGAGGAAAGGATGTTGTCTATGCGAGGAAAAGACTGTCAACATAACAGGACATGAAATGTGAGGATGGAATAAGCTAAAGCTTGGAATAGAGCTTTAAGAATGTGAAGAAAATAGCGAAAGATTTACTTGTGTCTTAAGTATTGACGATGTAACTATCGAAGAAGATAGCTATTAACAACTTACTTGGTAAACCTGCCCTCGAGGTAATGTAGTGTTAATAAATTTTAAAGCGGAAACATCCAGCCATTAACGTTTCCCACTCACCAGAACTGTAAAGGATTCAAGTAATAAAAAGTCAACTGAAGCAAGTTAACGCAATTTCTACACTCGATTGGCAAGAAGAATGAAATGTTGAAATAAGGCGTATTAGTTTAATACTGATTAAAAATGTTTAGTCCAAACGTTCCTCGTAAATATATTGATGGTACGCACATGTTTGTGGGATGGAGTAAGGACAACCCTGGTGTCGATTTTTGTGTATTACAGGTGAAATAATGACGTCATTGCCAGATGATGTTGACGACAAAGTAAATGAAAGTATAAAGCTGAGAGCGCAATGGATGACGGTAACATGTGATGGTCAGCGGTTATTACAAAACGATGGTGGTAGCCAATGTTTAGGAAATTACGTGAAACAATCTCTAGCGACATGTCCAGATACACGACAGGTAATTATGTTCAGGACCGTCCCGAGAACGTTGATCGGGGGGGGGGTTGTATATTCATATACTTAATTTTGGTCGACTGGTTTCTTTTGAATGTGAATTACTTAATTCCTTAGGTGAATTGCTTTCAAATGAAATCATTAGGCACATCTGAATACATGAATAAAACACCCCACCCACATTAACTATCCACCGATGGCCCTGATTATGTTGTAGAAGCTTTGAAAACAACATTTTAAATGGCTACTTTTAGTTTTTCGCTTGTTTGAGACGATTTTTTATTGTCCTGGCATATTGCTTTTTTCTTACGAAAACATAATTATCATTTGCATGTAAGCTCCATATGATGGAAGCAGAAATTCTATTGCTATTACTAAAAAGTTAAACAAAATAAAGAACAAGGAAGGCTTGCTTTTTACCGCTACGTATTTTTCTTGTTGTTAAGTTTACTAAAGTTGCATTATGATATGAACGATACATGTTGTAATTTGACAAAAAACTGCTTCATATTCGTTGTGTAAGAGCAAAATCTGTGGCTACTGCTGTTTTGATATCTCTAAGAGCAACCATTAATTCTATTTATTACTTGTCTATTCAAGTTCGACATAAATATTCTTCTTGAATGTCTTTATAAAAATTGCTTAGATTTACAAAACGAGGGAAGATAAAGTCATCAAAGTTATTCGACCTGACGGCACTCAAGTCGTAGAGCATTCGGACGGCACTCGTATTACTACGTTTTACGATATAACACGAGTAGAGTTGCAACCTCCGAATGCAGAAACTGGCGAAGAGGCTGAGTACGAGTCACGTGTTACCACATATGTCAAGGTGGAATGTGAGGGTTTTGCAACCGTTACCATGGAGACAGAATATGGTTCATGTCGAACGTTGTTTGGTAACGGTAGCTCCATACACACGATGACAAATGGTGAAAGTGTTGTCGATATATATGATGGTTCTAGGATCTTGTGTGATAGTAAAGGCATGTTGTTAAGAAGGGGTGGTTATAGGGGTACACATAAGGACATTAGTTGATTTATAGGGAGGGTTAACAATCTTTGAATTATTTTCGATTCATAAAATAATTTTATCTAATTCAAGAGAGGAAAATCAAAGTAAAGTGTTGTTACTTTATATTTTAGGTAACGTTTCCTACTTTCCTCGCGACTTAAATAAAGTTCATCGTGATCATGGTGATGATGACGTCAATTCTGTCAGGAATCGTCAGGGGGGTGTTTATTATCTACGCACTACATCACAACATTACTGTGATCATAAGGACAACTGTGGAAATACATTCTCTGTGTTTAGTAATGGCGACATAAAAGTTGATAAAGTCAATAATACAGATACAACAGAAAAAGGTGAGGCACCATTAACGTAACTCTACAACTTGAGTTTTTCTTTTAAATACCAATCATTCATTAAGTTTTTCAAATAACATTTTCTTCGAATCATATGACAGAGTTATAACACATATTCGGCTTTGTTGTTATTTCTGTAGCAGACATTTTACCCGTCCCACGATTCTTTGTGATGCGTCGTGATGGTACTGGGTTTACTTGTTACGTCATCAAGACGTTGACGAATACTTGAAAGCTGCTGAAGATAACGTTGCTACGGCTGTTTTAAGAACTCCTCTTGAGGGTTTACCAAACCTCACCGGAGTTACTGTACTAAAACCTTTCTCAGAAGGAGAAGGAAGAAAATGGCTAAAACACAAAGATGAAAGTAATCTTGTTCCGCTTGCTTTACGGGAAAGAGACTTTACGCAGTTTCCACCCTTAGAAAAAAAGAAAGATGGACCAAAATTTGATACCAATGCAGGTGGTCTTTATTTCATTGTTATATTGATGTTTCATTTGACTTTTGGTCCAAAATTTGGTACTAATGCAGGGGGTCTTTATTTCACTGTTATATTGATGTTTCATTGGACTTTTGGACCAAAATTTGGTACCAATGCAGGTGGTCTTTATTTCACTGTTTTATTGATGTTTCATTTGACTTTTGGACCAAAATTTGGTACCAATGCCAGGTGGTCTTTATTTCACTATTATATTGACGTTTCATTTGACTTTTGGACCAAAATTTGGTACCAATGCAGGTGGTGTTTATTTCACTGTTATATTGATGTTTCATTTGACTTTTGGTCCAAAATTTGGTACTAATGCAGGTGGTCTTTATTTCACTGTTATATTGATGTTTCATTTGACTTTTGGTCCAAAATTTGGTACCAATGCAGGTGGTCTTTATTTCACTGTTTTATTGATGTTTCATTTGACTTTTGGACCAATTTTTGGATGTTTCATTTGACTACCAATGCAGCAGGTGGTCATTATTTTATTGTTATATTGATGTTTCATTTGACTTTTGGACCAAAATTTGGTACCAATGCAGGTTGTCTTTATGTCACTGTTATATTGACGTTTCATTTGACTTTTGGACCAAAATTTGGTACCAATGCAGGTGGTCTTTATTTCACTGTTATATTGATGTTTCATTTGACTTTTGGTCCAAAATTTGGTACTAATGCAGGGGGTCTTTATTTCACTGTTATATTGATGTTTCATTGGACTTTTGGACCAAAATTTGGTACCAATGCAGGTGGTCTTTATTTCACTGTTTTATTGATGTTTCATTTGACTTTTGGACCAAAATTTGGTACCAATGCCAGGTGGTCTTTATTTCACTGTTATATTGACGTTTCATTTGACTTTTGGACCAAAATTTGGTACCAATGCAGGTGGTCTTTATTTCACTGTTTTATTGATGTTTCATTTGACTTTTGGTCCAAAATTTGGTACCAATGCAGGTGGTCATTATTTTATTGTTATATTGATGTTTCATTTGACTTTTGGACCAAAATTTGGTACCAATGCAGGTGGTCTTTATTTCATTGTTATATTGATGTTTCATTTGACTTTTGGACCAAAATTTGGTACCAATGCAGATGGTCTTTATTTCATTGTTATATTGATGTTTCGTTTGACTTTTGGACCAACATTTGGTACCAATGCAGGTGGTCTTTATTTCATTGTGATATTGATGTTTCGTTTGACTTTTGGACCAAAATTTTGTACCAATGCAGGTGGTCTTTATTTTATTGTTATATTAATGTTTCGTTTGACTTTTGGTCCAAAATTTGGTACCAATGCAGTTGGTCTTTATTTCATTGTTATATTGACGTTTCATTTGACTTTTGGTCCAAAATTTCGTACCAATGTAGGTGGTCTTTATTTCATTGTTATATTGATGTTTCGTTTGAATTTTTGACCAAAATTTGGTACCAATGCAGGTGTTCTTTATTTCATTGTTTTATTGTTGTTTCATTTGACTTTTGGACCAAAATTTGGTACCAATGCAGGTGGTCTTTATTTCATTGTTTTATTGATGTTTCATTTGAATTTTTGGTATTTTGAGATCGTTTTCTGATAAATTGATAGTTTGGTTTCAGGTTGGCAATGTTAAGGGTTTGCAGGTGTCTTACAGGGATATCAACGTTCATACCTGTGGGTGTGTTGCAGGGTTAAAATGGTTCAATTTAGGGGATGGCACCAGTTATTATCCTAATTTTCCAGCTCATTTTTCTTCTTTTTTCAGGTTTTGGAGTAGTCATTGGCAACATGAGAAAAGCCGTTGATGTAAAACCATTATTAACTTGTCCCAAAGTCTTGGTTTTGCTTCATTTTGTTCAATATGAGCCTTCAGACATCTTACATCGCGAGACTATTTCAGCGGCATTCCGTCAATATGGCGAGTACGTGACAAAACTTCAACTTCAGTGCGATAACTGTCTGCCGAAGGAGTCACGTGACACGGAAGAAGTAAAAAGAGCAAATGGATTGGTTGAAAAGGTAAGCATTTTTTAATCATAAAGCGGTTATATTATCATACGAGACTGCCTCTATATTTTTATTACATCAAGAAATATATCATAGTATTACTTATAGTGTAACTATAGAAAAATTTTAAGATGGCAGCAGTAAAGATTGTTGTCAAATTATCAAATTTTATTTATAATGACGTTAATGTCACTCACTAATATCATAGTGTCGTAGTACGCATGAATAAAAGTCAAGATGGAAATGCATATTTTTCTACAAATCTATAACTATTTTATACGACTCATTTAAAGTTATATTTTGTACTGCACTGAGCTTAGATTTCTTCACGGATCTCTTAAAGTGAATGTACATCAGTGAATTCATTTGTTTTTTGAGCTATGTTTTCCACCAGGTGCAAGAACTTTAATAATAGTTAGGGTAGTTGAGTTTAATGATAGCCATGTTCAGCATTTATAAAGTTCAGAATCTCCGAGAGTGATGGAGTTGAGATCTTTCTCTAAACCCCTATTCTAATTAGACACACGTTTTTAGAGAAGTAAAATCATGCAAGGCTCCTTTAAGAAAAAACTTTGGGTCTCTGTTACAGACCTTTAAAGTTGAGAACAGTTTAGAAAATCTGCCTGAAAGATATTTAAAATCAGAACTTTCTATTTCCTCAAGAGAAGTCTTAAGCCTCGCATTTTATCTTGGCGTCCCTAAGAGAGACAGTTATCATTAGATTTTTATCGTGTTATGCTAAAATGTTCCTTTCCGTTTCTTTTTATTCTTTTTTCTATTGATTACCCAGATAAATTGCAACATCGCGCAAACATTTGTTTGAAAGATCTTCTGTATTTCTTATCTCGTATTCCATAAATGAAAGCATTTGTAATGGAGTTTGTTGCAGCCAGAAGCAAAATTCCAATTTGAACTTTTAGAGGGATACAGCCATGATCGCAAATGACAAACTCGATAAACACTATCATAGGAAACGGTGTTACACAGAATAAAAAACAACCAAAAACGACACGGATTGTTTTGAAGAGCTTCATTTGTCGTGAAAAGTTTCTTCTTGAGTTCAAATCATCTGCAGCCGTTGAATTATTTGTTTGTGATAATGAAGCTTGTGCTGCTATTTTTCGACCTTGACTTCGAGCAATTTGTACAATTTTCGCATTGAAAACGATCGTAACACCAAGTGGAACAAAGAAAAAGAAAAAAGTACCAACTGAAGCAGTTATTTTGTTCATCTCACATATGAATGGCATATCGCTAGGTTTCGATGTGAAAAATATCATAAGAAAATTAAGAAAGCCAGTGATCCATACTGAAACCAAAGCTATAGACACCTTTCTTTGCGTGACAATTTGAGGATACTTTAGGGGTAATGCAATACAAATGTAACGATCAATTGTGAGCATCATGAGATTCACTACAGAAAGCGATAAACTTGCGTACAAAATGGAAATGAATAATTCGCAAAGTATGTCTGTTTTTCCCATCAAAACAAGTGTATTTTTTGCGATAGCCATCGGGAAAGTTATCCCACAAACGACAAGATCCGACAAAGCCAAATTAATAACAAAATAACTGGTCGTGTTTTTATCTTTATTCCAACGAACATTGTACAATATCACCAAAACGTTTCCTGTAACTCCAATTATTATAAACAATGAATCAACTGTTATTAGAAATATCACGAAAGATAGTGGTATTTGGTTGTTTGTAGAATTCATTGTTTTCATCAGTTTTTAGTCTCGTTTGTAAGAGAATCTTTGGATGTAATAAGAACAACAGCTTTCGTATCAACCTAAGTAGTCAAATGCTAATATTGAACTGCGTGCTTCATGACAACGTTAACACCAGATGTGTTTTGAAAACTTTATTTAGATGAAAGTTTATCAGCTAACATTGACATAACAAATTCATTTTTCGATAGTTTGATAAAGCAGTCATTACGATATGTTAAATATTATTGCTTTAAAACGTAATCATTTATATTTTATGAGTGTTTCAGTTACAAATTTAAAGATCGAGGATGAAAAATAAATGTGTCGTAAGAAAGAGAAGTGGCGAGGGGAATAGTCCCATGTTATTTAGATAACTATGAAAAAAGGATATTCTTTAAAAGTTTACTACTGTGTCATAATGTGGAGGAACTTTCAATAATTTCGTTACAGATTGCATTGTCTCAGGTTAAATTACGATATTGCAAACCCCCTGTGGCCTTTTTTATTGAAAATACATTAAAGGAAAACACGGTTTTCTGTTTTTATTATTATAAATAACGAAATATTTCATCAACATTTTCTTTAGTTATTGCTATCAAACGCCGGCTACTAACAATGAAGTCTCGTTTTATGATGGTCTGTTATGGCTTCATTACAAGGAGGTCACTTTTCTTTGAACAGTTTTTATTAAAACGTAGCGGAAACGATTAACATTCCTTATAGCGTGTAAAAGTTTATCGTGTTAGAGACTAGAAAATGTCAAAAAATTGTGTTAACGTTAAGTGAACTAGAGCTACCCTTCATGCTTAAACTTAGTAAAAGTATTGATTGACATGTAAAAATTCCCTTTAAAATACTTTGAAAAATGACATTGGATTCATGATACATTTCATTAAAACTTTTGAACGATTTCAAAGACAAAATAATCTCAACCGTTTACAAATAAAAATGATAACGATCCAAATATTCCCGTTTGGATGAAGGAAGGATTTTATCATGTGTACTTTAGTTTTGCAAAGCAAACTAGAGTATATGTAATAATTTATCGTAACCAATACTTTGAATTGACCGGGGCATTTTAATTATATTTTTAGTACGAGCGGGAAAACTCTCTGACAAATGATCTCAAAGCTGATGTAAATGGTAATGTTTAAACTTGGTTTCTACATTCAGTTTTTAATGTTCACTGTCCCCATCATAAAAACAATAAATTCAATAATGTCGTTGTTTCTTTATTAAACTTGCTGACTTTGTTGTAAAATTGTTGCGTCTTCTTTTGTCTATTTTAAAAAGAATCGGTTTATAAAAACCATCGTAATTCATACAGTTTATTTTGAACATAGAAAAGTCAAGTTATTTTATTTTTACTGCAGGTGTACAAGAAAAGTATTTGAAGTCTGTAGCATCTGTCGAAAAGCCTGCACCACCTGCGCCAGCCTGGAAACGCACGGCCGAGGAATGGGAACTAGATCGTATAGATTTGGCTAAACTAGAATACGGCAAACATGCATTACGTCATCGTGAAGTTCCGCCATATTTTGAAACGGCGAAGGGTCAAGCTTTTCTAAGTGCTTTAAATCGCGGTCCTGATATGTTGAAGCTCAGTGCTGAACTCGACAAACAAGCTTGTCCAGTTTCTAGTTCGCTTCACACTGCAATGAGTGCATCAACAGAAATTTTAGATCAGAGGCATCAAACTTCTCATGGTACGTTCCTGCACATAGTTAGAGAAACTCTTTTTAATTAATCAACGTACTTTTTTCTTTCTTACTGCTATAGAAAATGTTCCGCAATCTTCAAACTGGTCTAGGTCAGCGGTTTTAGAGAACCCAGATCTTGATAGAGGACAATCGCCTGGGGATGTCTCTCCAGTCGAAAGTAGTACACCATTTGTCAGTCGTCCAGTGAATCCTACTCCTGCACAAGCTGGTGGTGTACCTACTTCCCCGTCGACACGACCCACCAACCCCACCCCCAGTCAAGCATCGACTGTCTTGAGCAATGAAAGTGTTTTAGATTCCCCCCGTACCAAACAATCTATAGTCCGAAGCTCAACTTTGGAATCATTGTTGGAAATGCAACATGAAGTATTGAGTTCAGATGTTACGTCATCAAGTAAGTGATACTTGGTGCAATGTGTAGTACGTAAAAACACCATTTATGTTTATGTTATCGTTACACAGAGACATCTTGTGATAATCATGACAATTTACCCAACGTTATCATGGGTGGAAAACCTGGTGCTCTACCAAACTCTCAGGTGAGATGATAAGAAAATTTTAAATAATGGACACAGACAAAAGTTTAATTTCCTTGTGAGGTCACAGATTACGTTGGAATTGCCTCGGTATCAGGTATTGGTATTCCTCGGTAGAATTCTCGCCTGCCACGCGGGAGGCCCGGGTCGATTTCCGGCCAATGCATCTTTCTTTTTGAACACTTCAACTTTATTTGTTTATTGTATTTTGTAATTGGTTCTCAGTTCGTTTCTTCACTTAACATGTGCCTTCAGTGCTCTTTTACCTGGACAGTTGACTAGTTGTGCTAAGCAGTCGCTCAATAGTGAAGATTACGCTATTTATGCAAATGTGGGGCTCGTGCCAATTCTTAAAAAGGTGCAATGCGAAGACATATGTTCCAAAATAATTTTAAATTTGGTCAAAATCATATTTATAGCTGACAGTTTGTTTTACATTGGTCCACATTTAATAAACTTTATGATGCTTTCATTTCATTTTTGTTATTTTGACCTTGTTTTATAGAATCGTAACAATTTTTTAGCATGAAATTATTTGTCTTTAACAGCAAAAGTTGCTCAATTGGTAATGATTTTTCAGCGCAAGTCATTAGAATAATATTTTTTACAGGAATTTATGATGAAATCGTAAAAAGCGGGGCTCAGGCGGGAATCGAACCCGCGGCCTCTCGCACCCAAAGCGAGAATCATACCACTAGACCACTGAGCCTTGGTTCTTAAACAATTGTGGACGATGCTTTATATAAAATAATGAAAATACCTGTAAAACAACTTGTACTTTTTTGTATATTCGCACGTGTGTCGACGTTGTCTTGGCAACTATTACAGGTCGTGACCTTTAATTCAGTGGTTATTTTCACATGTTAATAAACACTTGTTGTGTTGGCTATTGTTAATATGAGAAGATTTACTCATAAAAAATACAGTTTCCCCCCCAAAAAACAGAGCTGTTGTTGCTGAAATTTTCGTCTCTTAGTTGTAGCTTGCTTCAAAAGTTGCTTGAGCAAATTTTAAATCGATAATAGCTTCTAAATACGACATGTGAAAATTCATTTCAATTTTCATGTCGACTTAAATTAGTTTTTACTGAATTAAATAATATAAAATGAAGGACAGATTTATAAAATTTGAAAATGCGTTACATTTTCTTTTGAAAAATCTTTAAAAACATCAGTGTTTGTAAAGAACATAGAGAAACTAATTTTTTATGTCTATCAATCAGAAACCCATGTTTTATAATTCCATTTTTTTTTGTTGCCTTGATCCTTTTTATCTCTTATTCTTCTCTGGGATATCAGTTTTTAAAGATAGAGGATCCTGTCCGACGTAGAGTTCAAACTGCTTCTGTTATTGGAAAGAACAACACAAGAGGTTTTGAGCTTTCTCCACCAGAAGTGGACATGGGGGTACTTAAAAAAGGTCACACGTATGTACATTCGGTGATATTAAGGAACATTGGTATTGGTAGCTGTAGATTCAAAGTACGACAACCTCCTCCATCGACTGGTATCAAAGTTTTGTTTAATCATGGTCCTGTAAGTTTTTTATTTTCAATTAATTATACATTCTTAAATACCCTTTCTACCGCTTAATCCCCTAAGTATACCCCCTTTACCCTCAGTATAACCTATTTCGTGTGTATAGTTCAGTATAAATTAGCATCAATGATAATTTCAAGGCATACGACTCGAAAAGTTTGCTATTTAAATTATATTTTATCTCAACAGGATTTTGAAAATGACAGCGTAGTTTCAAAAACAGTGACGTATATTGCTTCTCATTCTCAAGATATTGAAGTTTTTATTGTTCGCTTTACACAAATTTTTACATCATTTTGCATTTAATAAAGTTTTAAGCATCCTTTGGTGTCGTTGAAAGATCAAGCATTATTTAATACCATTAATTCTTTACAATGAAGGGAATTCTGCTCTGTTAAAGTAAAATATCAGCAAATGTACCTGCTATTTCAAATTTCCGTTATGCAATGTGACGTCACATGCTGTGTAAAGCGTACAGTACATAAACTACAATATCTTGAGAAAGAAAATTGATATGAATAAACTGTTTAAGAAGATATTTATGGAAACAAAAGATTTTAATAAAAATAAAATAAAAATGGCACAATTTTCGAATCATAAGCTCTTACATTAAAAAGCAACAAAGCAATTTCAATTGTGCTGCTTTGATGGGCTAATAAACTGCAATGGTTGGGAAGGACATACGTTTTTCAATGAAATAAAACCTGTGTCTTACTTTTTCTTTGGTTGTTGCATTTTTATTTTATAGGTTGCAGCAGGCATGACGAGAAAACTAGACATTGAAATGTTTGCTGTAGCTGTTGGTGAATCTGGAGAAAGTGGAGTTGGATCTGTTTGTCATCACATTGAAATAATTGGCGAAAATGAAATTTTTTATCTTCCTGTGTCGGCTAGTATCCTTTAATTTTAGGAATAATTTGTGTGACAGGAATATTTATATTATAAAATTCATGCTCATACAGAGAATGAGAACAGTCTTTACGCTGTATAAAATATAGAAGAAATGAGATGACGTATGTCTGTGTAGGTGGTGATGAATGAACAACAGAGAACGAGAACAGTCTTCGCACTATTTAAAACACATAAGAAATAAGAGAACGTGTGTCTGTGTAGGTAATGATGAATGAACAACAGAGAACAAAAACATCTTTACACTACGTAAAATATATAAGAAATAAGATAACGTGTTTCAGTGTAGGTAGTGATGAATTAGCAACAGAGAACGAGAACATCTTTACGCCACATAAAATACATAAGAACTAAGATAACCTGTGTCTCTGTAAATAAAGATGAATGAATGAATGAACAACAGAGAATGAGAACAGTCTTTACACTACATAAAATATATAAGAAACAAGATAACGCATGTCAGTGTAGGTAGTGATGAATGGAGAACGAGAACAGTTTTTACACTATCTAAAACATATAAGAAATAAGATAAATTGTGTCAGTGTAGGTAGTGATGAATGAGCAGCAGAGAACAAAAACAGTCAACTTAGTTGCAAATCAGAGCATTCTTTAATGATATTGTCAGCTATTTTAACCGCTTATGAGTATGACAATCGTTCAAATTCGTTTCCCCAAGGTCAGAGCATAGAGAAATTGCTCAAACAAGTTTTTTGTCGTGAAGTATTTAATCTTTTCCATTTGCCAAAATAATTTAACTCTTCGCTGAATCCCGGCTACGGGGCTCATGTGAACAGCCCCTTAAATTTGTATTCGAGCTGTATTTACTCGTTTTAAGTGAATTTTGAATACCATTTACGGTGTTAAAAGCGCGTATTGTTCATGGTCAGCGAGGGAATAAAGAAAAGAATAGAGCTATTTAATTGTGAAGTCTGTTTTTAATTTATTCAGTGAACCTGTGTATGAATTTGCTTTGCAAATACATATGGTAGTTTTACTGTCGTCGAAGTTTCGATGGTTCATAAAAAGTTTTCAAAAGTTAGTGGAAAGGACGTTGTCTATGCGAGGAAAAGACTGTCAACATAACAGGACATGAAATGTGAGGATGGAATAAACTAAAGCTTAGAATAACAAACTTCGAGAATGTGAAGGAAATAGCGAAATATTTATTTGTGTCTTAAGTATTGAAGATGTAACAGTCAAACAAGATAGCTATTAACAACTGGCTTGGTAACTTGCCCTCGAGGTAATGTAATTTTAATCAACTTTAAAGCGGAAACATCCAGCCATTAACGTTTTCCACTCACCAGAACTGTAAAGGATTCAAGTGCTGGAAAGTCAACGAAACAAGTTAACGCAATTTCTACACTCGACTCGCAAGAAGATTGTTGGTCAGATAAAACAAAGGTAATTTATTCACTAGTTATATCATAGTGAACATAAATTAAAGACAAGCTAAACACATTTCATAAAATTTAAGCCTATTTTATACAACTAATTTTATTAAGTTATATTTTGTATTACACTACGTATATACTATACACTACACATTGGTTTTAAAGTTATCTTCTTATGTAATCCAAGAACCTTAAATATTCGAGGAACAGCAAAATTTCATCATTATTATCCAAGATTAATCTTCAACATTAACAAAAGTAGTAAGGTCAAGGCCCACGACACTGAGTGAGAGAAAATGTTTTCCTGCATCCTCGTCCTAGTTGGCCTCACGATTTTGTAAAACACCTAAACTTATTCAAAGCTCTATAGCCTATAGGAATACATCTGAGTAAAATAACCATTTACAATAATTTGAGTAGATAATTTAAAATGATAACGTCATTATGCCAAAAGATTCAATTTTTCGCAATTTCTATCGGCGTCGCTTTTAGAGACCATTAAATGTTTTTGGTGTTACGAAATAATGTTCTTTATCTTTTCTATAAATTACCCAGATAAATTGCAACAACGTGCAAACAGTAACTTGAAAGATCTTCTGTATTCCTTGTCACGTATTCCATAAAATATATAAGAAATAAGATAACGTGTGTCTCTGTAAATAAAAATGAATGAACAACAGAGAACGAGAACAGTCTTTACACTACATAAAATATATAAGAAATGAGATAACGTGTGTCTCTGTAAATAAAGATGAATGAACAACAGAAAACAAGAACAGTCTTTACACTACATAAAATATATAAGAAATAAGATAACGCATGTCAGTGTAGGTAGTGATGAATGAACAACAGAGAACGAGAACAGTCTTTACACTACATAAAATATATAAGAAATAAGATAACGTGTGTCTCTGTAAATAAAGATGAATGAACAACAGAGAACAAGAACAGTCTTTACACTACATAAAATATATAAGAAATAAGATAACGCATGTCAGTGTAGGTAGTGATGAATGAACAACAGAGAACGAGAACAGTTTTTACACTACATAAAATATATAAGAAATAAGATAACGTGTGTCTCTGTAAATAAAGATGAATGAACAACAGAGAACGAGAACAGTCTTTACACTACATAAAATATATAAGAAATAAGATAACGTGTGTCTCTGTAAATAACAATGAATGAACAACAGAGAACGAGAACAGTTTTTACACTATCTAAAACATATAAGAAATAAGAAAAATTGTGTCAGTGTAGATAGTGATGAATGAACAACAGAGAACAAGAACTGTCAACTTAGTTACAAATCATAGCATTCTTTAATGATATTCTCAGCTATTTTAACCGCTTATGAGTATGACAATCGTTCAAATTCGTTTCCCCAAGGTTATCTCAGTAAAGGAACTTGTATGATTGACAATCGACCATCATCAAGAGACGCTATTCTTCCTCGAAGAAATCATATATATTCTGATGTTTCTGAACAATTTTAAACTTCCTAGGATGTTCTATGTATTCTGCGTATAGTTTTTTACCATTGAGTAATTTTTGTTACATAAATTATAAATTATATTTATATCTTCTTGTGACCCGAAACTTACAATCGCTTTCAAAATTATGGCATGAATTTGATTTAGGGGCCGATTACATGAGCCCGCGGTAACTGGAGTTCAGAGAGGCGGGAAATGATTTTGAGTCATCGAAAGGAGTAAAAATTTTAAGTGCAAAACTTTTCGTATTTTATCTTTATTCCAACGAACATTGTGCCATATCACCAAAACGTTTCCTGTAACTCCAATTATTATAAAGAATGATTTAAATGTTATTAGAAATATCACTAAAGTTTGTGATAGTTCATCGCTTATAGAATTCATTGTTTTCATCAGTTTTTAGTCTCGTTTGTAAGAGAATCCTTGGATGTAATAAGAACAACAGCTTTCGTATCAACCTAAGTAGTCAAATGCTAATATTGAACTGCGTGCTTCATGACAACGTTAACACCAGATGTGTTTTGAAAACTTTATTTAGATGAAAGTTTAATAGCTAACATTGGCATAACAAATTCATTTTTTGATAGTTTGATAAAGCAGTCATTAAGATATGTTAAATATAATTGCTTAAAAACGTAATCATTTCTATTTTATGAGTGTTTCAGTTACAAATTTAAAGATCAAGGATAAAATATAAATGTGTTGTAAGAAAGAGAGGGGGCGCGGGGAATAGTTCTATGTTATTTAGATAACTATGAAAAAAGGATACTCTTTAAAATTATTATAAACAATGATTCAATTGTTATTAGAAATATCACGAAAGTTTGTGGTATTTGGTTGTTTGTAGAATTCATTGTTTTCATCAGTTTTTAGGGGGTGTTTACATGAATCCGGAATGAGTTTCGATACGGAATGAACTCATTCCACTTTAAAAGAAATCCTATTGCATGTTTACATGAATCCGGAATGAGTCACAACTCGATCCGGATCGAGTTCATTCCTAGTTTCATTCCGGATCAAAATTTACTTTTTATCTAACGTAAACGCGAATTGAGTTTCATTCTGGAATGATATTGTGATTAATGACGAAGCACGCATGTGCCATTGGTATTGTCTTCTGGCAAATTGAAGCTCGTAAGTAAATAAAGAGGCTAAATGGGTTAAAATGAGTGCGAAGAAAAACAGCAATTAGTTTCATGTAAACACGGATTGACATCACGTTTCGATCGCGATTGAAAGTCATTCCGGATTCATGTAAACAACCCTTAGTCTCGTTTGTAAGAGAATCCTTGGATGAAATAAGAACAACAGCTTTCGTATCAACCTAAGTAGTCGAATGCTAATATTGAACTGCGTGCTTCATGACAACGTTAACACCAGATGTGTTTTGAAAACTTTATTTAGATGAAAGTTTATTAGCTAACATTGACATAACAAATTCATTTTTCGATAGTTTGATAAAGCAGTCATTACTATATGTTAAATATAATTGCTTAAAAACGTAATCATTTCTATTTTATGAGTGGTTTCAATTACAAATTTAAAGATCAAGGATAAAGTATAAATGTGTTGTAGGAAAGAGAAGTGGCGCGGGGAATAGTTCTATGTTATTTAGCAGGGGCGGATCTAGAGTATGTCAAATCTGTCGCGCGACTGATGTTTGAAATTCAAAAATTACCTATTCATATTAATTAAAAATTATTAATTATTCTTACTTTATTATCGCATTTACTTCGTGATAAAAATCCAGCTTTATTTATTATTGAAAACTAATGACTAATGCAATGAATATCTCGTTGGTAACCAGATCAGTTGAATTTTAATTGACCTGGAATAACCGACTGATAAGCGGGGTGGCTTGACTGGTTCGACTGATAAAGGAGTCTATGAACGCCAAAAACGCTTATTTCATTCATTCATTGGTCAATAGCCAGATCAGTGGACGATCTGGAATAATCTCGATCGATAAGCGGGGTGGCCGGACCTATAAGGGAGTCCACTTGCTATCGTGTAATTGGTTCGTTTAAATTTTTGTCTTACTGTGATTGGTTTGACCGATTTCGACTGATAGCCAACTGAACTAACATGGTCAAGCTCACTGTCTGAATTGAATGTTTGATCGTTTCATAGTAATTTTCTAAAGCATGATAGAAACTAAACTACAATCAGATGGAATTTATGGAAATCTTTTACAAATTCATATATTGACATGAATGCTGCTTTCCAAACTGGGAATTTTTTCAAGAGGGCGAAAAATTTATGGATGAATTGTAAATGCTTGGCAAAGACGATCTCGCGAGCGACATTTCAGTCGTTGATTTTTAAAACCAAGCCAACATTGTTTTGAGTTTTATCAGCAGAAATTTACATCCAAAATCGTAAGTAAAGGACAACTGAAGTGTATGCGTGAATGTAATATATCAAAGTCAATTTATGCGAGTGTGTGATGTGATTTTGAGTCTTCTGATCCATGAAGCTTTTTATTTTGACAATTTGACTGGAATGGTATTAAACCTTAGTATTTCACATACATGAAATGTTGTCCCATGTCACATATTGTCCCCTTTTCTAACTGAACACCTCATGTCGAGATGTAAAGGTGTGTTAAACTACGGCTCATACCAGATTGTTTGCCATAAATTACAAAGGGCTATTGATGTATGAAAAGCATTTTCTATAAAGTAAAAATGTCTTCCTATGTATGCAAATAAACCTTGAAATTTGGCAAAACAGCAAAGTACTTTTCATGATCACTAGGTAATTTTTCTGATGATCATTATAATTTCTAAACTAAATTATTTCAGATTTACATTTAAACAAGCTTTGATCTTATGAAAAGATATTAATCATAACCAGTAAGCATGACACATGAACCAATTTTAACATTCATTTAATTACAAAATTAAAGACATGTTGGTTACATTCTGTTTGTATTTGCAAATACAATGCTACCAGTGATTGCTATATAGCACACCTTGCATATACTTACAGAAGATAATAGTCTTGTGAAAGTGAAATGCCTAATAAACATTTATGGCATTAAGCAGTCCTTAACTGCAAATTTTCACTCTGATAATTTTTGCTTAATCTTTGGCAGAAAAAAATTTTGAGTTTTTTCTCATAAGATGAATTTGCTAGGACTGATGTGGAGATGGGTGAAGGGTTACAATAAACTTACATGGTTTGAAAACTGAGCGTTTCTATATCTATGAACTGTCACTTGTAGTACCAAATTTCTAACTTAACTCGTTACATAGAGGTTTGAATGGGGGTCTCTAGGGGGGTCTATGCTTGACAACTTGGTAGAAATTTTTAAAGACTATATCTGTTTTTGAATAGCATTATTGTAAAATGAATTTTACGTTCCTAGACATGCTAATAAGCCATATATTTGGCATGATAATGAGCCCAAATATTTGGCAAAACATTCAAGTATTGTTCACTTCATATTTTTTTTTGAAAAACACGTAAGCAAAATGTGTTGTTTTTACGCAAAAACGATGCCCACAAAATACATTTTGTATTGCTCTAAAACGCTGAAAACGGCATTTTCAAGGCTCTGAAATTCAAAATTTCTCAGGGGAAAATGCCTCAGCCCCCAGGTGCGGAGCGCCTCCGACGTTTTATGACTGATGTTTGAAAAATCCTAGATCCGCCCCTGTTATTTAGATAACTATGAAAAAAAGATACTCTTTAAAAGTTTACTACTGTGTCATAATGTGGAGTCACTTTCAATAATTTCGTCACAGATTGCATTGTCTCAGGTTAAATTACGATATTGCAAACCCCCTGTGGCCTTTTTTATTGAAAATACATTAAAGGAAAAAACGATTTTCTGTTTTTATTTTTATAAATAACGAAATATTTCATCGACATTTTCTTTAGTTATTGCTAGCAAACGCCGGCTACTAACGATGAAATCTCGTTTTATCATGGTCTGTTATGGCTTCATTACAAGGAGGTCACTTTTCTTTGAACAGTTTTTATTAAAACGTAGGGGAAACGATTAAAATTCCTTATAGCGTGTAAAAGTTTATCGTGTTAGAGACTAGAAAACGTCAAAAAATTGTGTGAACGTTAAGTGAACTAGAGCTACCCTTCATGCTTAAACTTAGTAAAACTATTGATTGACATGTAAAAATTCCCTTTAACAAACTTTGAAAAATGACATTGGATTCATGATATATTTCATCAAAACTTTTGAACGATATCAAAGGCAAAATAATTTCAACCGTTTATAAAGAAGAATGATAACAATCCAATTATTCCCGGCCGGATGAAGGAAGGATTTTATCATGTGTACTTTAGTTTTACAAAGCAAACTAGAGTATATGTAATAATTTATTGTAACTAATACTTTGAGTTCACCGGGGAATTTTAATTATATTTTTAGTACGAGCGAGAAAATTCTCTAAAAAATGATCTCAAAGCTGATGTAAATGGTAATGTTTAAACTTGGTTTCTATTTAGTTTTTAATTTTCACTGTCGCTATCATGAAAACAATACATTCAATAATGTCGTTGTTTCTTTATTAAACTTCTTGGTGACTTTGTTGTAAAATTGTTGCATCTTCTTTTGTCTATTTTGGAAAGAATCAGTTTACAAAAACCATCCTAATTCATACAGTTTTTATTTTGAACATAGAAAAGTCACGTTATTTTATGTTTACTTTACTGCAGGTGTACAAGAAAAGTATTTGAAGTCTGTAGCACCTGTCGAAAAGCCCGCACCACCTGCGCCAGCCTGGAAACGCACGGCCGATGAATGGGAACGAGATCGTATAGATTTGGCTAAACTGGAATACGGCAAACATGCATTACGTCATCGTGAAGTTCCGCCATATTTTGAAACGGCGAAGGGTCAAGCTTTTCTAAGTGCTTTAAATCGCGGTCCTGATATGTTGAAGCTCAGTGCTGAACTCGACAAACAAGCTTGTCCAGTTTCTAGTTCGCTTCACACTGCAATGAGTGCATCAAAAGAAATTATAGATCAGAGGCATCAAACTTCTCATGGTACGTTACTGTACATAGTTAGAGAAACTCTTTTTAATTAATAAACGTAGTTTTTCTTTCTTACTGCTATAGAAAATGTTCCGCAATATTCAAACTGGTCTAGGTCAGCGGTTTTAGAGAACACAGATCTTGAAAGAGGACAATCGCCTGGGGATGTCTCTCCAGTCGAAAGTAGTACACCTTTTGTCAGTCGTCCAGTGAATCCTACTCCTGCACAAGCTGGTGGTGTACCTACCTCCCCGTCGACACGACCCACCAACCCCACCCCCCGTCAAGCATCGACTGTCTTGAGCAATGAAAGTGTTTTGGATTCCCCCCGTACCAAACAATCTATAGTCCGAAGTTCGACTTTAGAATCATTGTTGGAAATGCAACATGAAGTATTGAGTTCAGATGTTACGTCATCAAGTAAGTGATAGTTGGTGCAATGTGTAGTACGTAAAAACAGCCTTTATGTTTATGTTATCGTTACATAGAGACATCTTGTGATAATCATGACAATTTACCCAACGTTATCAAGGGTGGAAAACCTGGTGCTCTACCAAACTCTCAGGTGAGATGATAACAAAATTTTAAAACATTAGACACAGACAAAAGTTTAATTTGCTTCTGAGGTCACATATTACGTTACAATTGCCTCGGTATCAATTATTGGTATCTCAGTGGTAGAATTCGTCTTTATCGGCAAAAGTTGCTCAATTGGTAATGATTTTTCATCGCAAGTCATTACAAAAATATTTTCTGAAGGAATTTATGATGAAATCGTAAAAAGCGGGGCTCAGGCGGGAATCGAACCCGCGGCCTCTCGCACCCAAAGCGAGAATCATACCACTAGACCACTGAGCCTTGGTTCTTAAAGGATTGTGGATGATGTTTTACATAAAATAATGAAAATACCTGTAAAACAACGTGTACTTTGTTGTAAATTCGCACGTGCGTCGACGTTGTCTTGGCAACTATCACAGGTCGTGACCTCAAATTCAGTGGTTATTTTCAAATGTAATTAAACACTTGTTGTGTTGGCTATTAATCACATGAGAAGATTTACTCATAAAAATACAGTTTCCCCCCAAAAAACAGAGCTCTTGTTGCTAAAATTTTCGTCCCTTAGTTGTAGCTTGCTTCAAAAGTTGCTTGAGTAAATTTTAAATCGAAAATGGCTTCTAAATACGACATGTGAAAATTCATTTCAATTTTCATATCAACTCAAATTATTTTCTACTGAACTAAATAAGATAAAATGAACGACAGAACAGAAAATTTAAAAATTCGTTGCATTTTCTTTTGAAAAATTTGAAAATAATCAGTGTTTGTAAAGGACATAGAGAAACTAATTTTTTATGTCTATCAATCAGAAAACCCATGTTTTATAATTTGATTTTTGTTGTTTCCTTGATCCTTTTTATTTCTTATTCTTCTCTTGGATATCAGTTTTTAAAGATAGAGGATCCTGTCCGACGTAAAGTTCAAACTGCTTCTGTTATTGGAAAGAGCAACACAAGAGGTTTTGAGCTTTCTCCACCAGAGGTGGACATGGGGGTACTTAAAGAAGGTCACACGTATGTACATTCGGTGATATTAAGGAACATTGGTATTGATAGCTGTAGATTCAAAGTACGACAACCTCCTCCATCGACTGGTATCAAAGTTTTGTTTAATCATGGTCCTGTAAGTTTTTTGTTTTCAATTAATTATACATTCTTAAATACCCTTTCTACCGCTTACAATCCCGGAAGTATACCCCCTTTACCCTCGGTATAACCTATTGCGTGTGTATAAATCAGTATAAATTAGCATCAATGATAATTTCAAGGCATACGACTCGAAAATTTTGCTATTTAAATTATATTTTCACTCAACAGGATTTTGAAAATGACAGCGTATTTTCTCAAACTGTGTACGTACATTGCTTCTCATTCTCAAGATATTGATGTTTTTATAATTCGCTTTACACAAATTTTTACATCATTTTGCATTTAACAAAGTTTTAAACATCCTTTGGTATCGTTGAAATGATCAAGCAATATTTAATACCATTAATTCTTCACAATGAAGAGAATTCTGCTCTGTTGAAGTAAAATATCAGCAAATGTACCTGCTATTTCAAATTTCATTGTACAATGTGACGTCACATGCTGTGTAAAGCGTACAGTACATAAACTATAATATATCGAGAAAGAAAATTGATATGAATAAACTGTTTTAGAAGATTCAAACGTTCAAAGAAAATATAATATTAATAGCACAATTTTCCAATCATAAGCTCTTACATTGAAAAGCATTAAAGCAATTTCTATTGTGCTGATTGATCGGCTAATAAACTGCAATGGTTGTGAATGACACACGTTTTTCAATGAAATAAAACTTGTGTCTTACCTTTTCTTTGGTTGTTGCATTTTTATTTTATAGATTGCAGCAGGAATGACGAGAAAACTAGACATTGAAATGTTTGCTGTAGCTGTTGGTGTATCTGGAGAAAGTGGAGTTGGATCTGTTGGTCATCACATTGAAATAATTAGCGAAAATGAAATTTTTTATCTTCCTGTATCGCCCAGTATCTTTTAATTTCATGAATAGTTTGTGTTACAGGAATGTTTATATTATAAAATTCATGCTCATACAGAAAATGAGAACAGTCTTTACGCTGCATAAAGTATATAAGAAATAAGATGACGTATGTCTGTGTATGTAGTGATGAATGAACAACAGAGAATGAGAACAGTTTTTACACTACATAAAATATATAAGAAATAAGATAGCGTGTGTCTGTGTAGGTAGTGATGAATGAACAACAAAGAACGAGAACATCTTTACACCACATAAAATATTTACGAAATAAGATAAGGTGTGTCTCTGTAAATAAAGATGAATGTACGACAGAGAACGAGAACAGTTTTACACGATCCAAAACATATAAGAAATAAGAAAAAGTGTGTCAGTGTAGATAGTGATGAATGAACAACAGAAAACAAAGACAGTCAACTTAGTTACAAATCATAGCATTCTTTAATGATATTGTCAGCTATTTTAACCGCTTATGAGTATGACAATCGTTCAAATTCGTTTCCCCAAGGTTATCTCAGTAAAGGAACTCGTATGATTGACAATCGACCACCATCAAGAGACGCTATTCGTCCTCGAAGAAATCATATGTGTTCTGATGTTTCCAAACAATTTTAAACTTCATAGATTGTTTTATGTATTCTACGTTTAGTTTTTTACCATTGAGTAATTTTTATTACATAAATTTTATTTATATCTTCTTGTGACCCGAAACTTACAATCGCTTTCAAAATTATGGCATCAATTTGTATGATTTAGGGGCTGATTACATGACCCTGGTAACCTGAATTCAGCGAGGCGGGAAATGATTTTGAGTCATCGAAAGGAGCAAAAATTTTAAGCGCAAAACTTTTCTTATGCGTTAGTTGTAACTTTCAAATCTGGCTAAATTATTTGTTTTCATTTTAAAGATTTTGTAAATTTGCAAAGTCAGAGCACAGAGAAATTGCTCAAACAAGTTTTTTGTCGTGAAGTATTTAATCTTTTCCATTTGCCAAAATGATTTAACTCTTCGCTGAATCCCGGCTACCGGGCTCATGTGAACAGCCCCTTAAATTTGTATTCGAGTTGTATTTACTTGTTTTGAGTGAGTACCATTGATGGTGTTCAAAGCGTGTATTGTTTATGGTCAGCGAGGGAATAAAGAAAAGAATAAAGCTATTTAATTGTGAAGTCTGTTTTTGAATTTTTTCAGTGAACCAGTGTATGAATTTGGTTTGCAAATACATATGGTAGTTTTACTGTCGTCGAAGTTTCGATGGTTCATAAAAAGTTTTCACAAGTTAGAGGAAAGGATGTTGTCTATGCGAGGAAAAGACTGTCAACATAACGGGACAGGAAATGTGAGGATGGAATAAGCTAAAGCTTAGAATAACAAACTTCGAGAATGTGAAGAAAAAAGCGAAAGATTTACTTGTGTCTTAAGTATTGACGATGTAACAGTCGAAGAAGATAGCTATTAACAACTGGCTTGGTAAACTTGCCCTCGAGGTAATGTAGTTTTAATAAATTTTAAAGCGGAAACATCCAGCCATTAACGTTTCCCACTCACCAGAACTGTGAAGGACTCAAGTGCTGAAAAGTCAACTGAAACAAGTTAACACAATTTCTACACTCGACTGGCAAGAAGAATGAAATGTTGAAATAAGGCGTATTAGCTTTAATACTGATTAAGGAAGTTTAGTCCAAACGTTCCTCGTAAATATATTGATGATATGCACTTGTTTGTGGGATGGAGTGAAACAACCCTGGTGTCGATTTTGTGTATTACAGGTGAAATAATGACGTCATTGCCAGATGATGTTGACGACCAAGTAAATGAAAGTATGAAGCTGAGAGCGCAATGGATGACGGTAACATGTGATGGTCAGCGGTTTTTACAAAACGATGGTGGTAGCCAATGTTTAGGAAATTACGTGAAACAATCTCTAGCGACATGTCCAGATACACGACAGGTAATTATGTTCAGGACCGTCTCAAGAACGTTGATCGGGGGGGGGATTGTATATTCATATACTTAATTTTGGTCGACTGGTTTCATTTGAATGTGAATTACTTAATTCCTTAGGTGAATTGCTTTCAAAAGAAATCAGTAGGCACATCTGAATACATGAATAAAACACCCCACCCCATTAACTATCCACTGATGGCCCTGATTATGTTGTAGAAGCTTTGAAAACAACATTTTAAATGGCTACTTTTAGTTTTCGTTTGTTTGAGACGATTTTTATTGTCCTGACATATTGTTTTTCTTACGAAAACATAATTATCATTTGCATGTAAGCTCCATATGATGGAAGCAGAAATTCTATTGCTATTACTAAAAAGTTAAACAAAATAAAGAACAAGGAAGGCTTGCTTTTTACCGCTACGTATTTTTCTTGTTGTTAAGTTTACTAAAGTTACATTATGATATGAAAGATACATGTTGTAATTTGACAAAAAACTGCTTGATATTTATTGTGTAAGAGCAAATATATTTACTGCTGTTTTGATATCTCTAAGAGCAACCATTAATTCTATTTATTACTTGTCTATTCAAGTTCGACATAAATTTTCTTTTGAATGTTTTTATAAAATTGCTTAGATTTACAAAACGAGGGAAGATAAAGTCATCAAAGTTATTCGACCTGACGGACATCAAATCGTAGAGCATTCGGAAGGCACTCGTATTACTACGTTTCACGATATAACACGAGTAGAGTTGCAACCTCCGAATGCAGAAACTGGCGAAGAGATTGAGTACGAGTCACGTGTTACCACATATGTCAAGGTGGAATGTGAGGGTTTTGCAACCGTTACCATGGAGACAGAATATGGTTCATGTCGAACGTTGTTTGGTAACGGTAGCTCCATACACACGATGACAAATGGTGAAAGTATTGTCGATATATATGATAGTTCTAGGATTTTGTGTGATATTAAAGGTATGTTGTTAAGAAGTGATAGTTATAGGGGTACACATAAGGACATTAACGTAAAGTGTTGTTGATATATATGACGGCTCTAGGATCTTGTGTGATAGTAAAGGTATGTTGTTAAGAAGTGATAGTTATAGGGGTACACACGATGACAAATGGTGAAAGTGTTGTTGATATATATGATGGTTCTAGGATTTTGTGTGATAGTAAAGGTATGTTGTTAAGAAGTGATAGTTCTAGGGGTACACATAAGGACATTAAAGTAAAGTGATGTTGATATATATGATGGTTCTAGGATCTTGTGTGATAGTAAAGGTATGTTGTTAAGAAGTGATAGTTATAGGGTACACGATGACAAATGGTGAAAGTGTTGTTGATATATATGATGGTTCTAGGATTTTGTGTGATAGTAAAGGTATGTTTTTAAGAAGTGATAGTTCTAGGGGTACACATAAGGACATTAAAGTAAAGTGATGTTGATATATATGATGGTTCTAGGATCTTGTGTGATAGCAAAGGTATGTTGTTAAGAAGTGATAGTTATAGGGGTACACATAAGGACATTAGTTGATTTATAGGGAGGGTTAACAATCTTTGAATTATTTTCAATTCATAAAATAATTTTGTCTAATTCAAGAGAGGAAAATCAAAGTAAAGTGTTGTTACTTTATATGTTAGGTAACGTTTCCTACTTTCCTCGCGACTTAAATGAAGTTCATCATGATCATGGTGGTGATGACGTCAATTCTGTCAGGAATCGTCAAGGGGGTGTTTATTATCTACACACTACGTCACAACATTGCTGTGATCATAAGGACAACTGTGGAAATACATTCTCTGTGTTTAGTAATGGTGATATAAAAGTTGATAAAGTCAATAATACAGATACAACAGAAAAAGGTGAGACACCATTAACTTAACTCTACAACTTGAGTTTTTCTTTTAAATACCAATCATTCATTAAGTTTTTCAAATAACATTTTCTTCGAATCATATGACATAGTTATAACACATATTCGGTTTTGTTGTTATTTCTATAGCGGACATTTTACCCGTCCCACGATTCTTTGTGATGCGTCGTGATGGTACTGGGTTTGAGTTGCTACGTCATCAAGACGTTGACGAATACTTAAGAGCTGCTGAAGATAACTTTGCTACGGCTGTTTTAAGAACTCCTGTTGAGGGTTTACCAAACGTCACCGGAGTTACTGCTCCAAAACCTTTCTCAGGAGGAGAAGGAAGAAAATGGCTAAAATACAAAGATGAAAGTAATCTTGTTCCGCTTGCTTTACGGGAAAGAGACTTCACGCAGTTTCCACCGACAGAAAAAAAAGAAAGATGGACCAAAATTTGGTACCAATGCAGGTGGTCTTTATTTCATTATTATATTGATGTTTCATTTGACTTTTGGACCCAAAATTTGGTACCAATGCAGGTGGTCTTTATTTCATTGTTATATTGATGTTTCATTTGACTTTTGGTCCAAAATTTGGTACCAATGCAGGTGGTCTTTATTTCATTGTTTTATTAATGTTTCATTTGAATTTTTGGTATTTTGAGATTGTTTTTTGATAAATCGATAGTTTGGTTTCAGGTTGGCAAAGTTAAGGGTTTGCAGGTGTCCTACAGGGATATCAACGTTCACACCTGTGGGTGTGTTGCAGGGTTAAAATGGTTTAATTTAGGGGGATGGCACCAGTTATTATCCTAATTTTCCCGCTCATTTTTCTTCTTGTTTTAGGTTGTGGACTAGTCATTGGCAACATGAGAAAGCCTGTTGATGTAAAACCATTATTAACTTGTCCCAAAGTCTTGGTTTTGCGTCATTTTGTTCAATATGAGCCTTCAGACATCGTACATCGCGAAACTATTTCAGCGGCATTCCGTCAATATGGCGAGTACGTGACAAAACTTCGACTTCAGTGCGATAACTGTCTGCCGAAGGAGTCACGTGACAGGGAAGAAGTAAAAAGAGCAAATGGATTGGCTGAAAAGGTAAGCATTTTTTAATCATAAAGCGGTTATATTATCATACGAGACTGCCTCTATATTTTTATTACATCAAGACATATATATAATAGCATTACTTTTAATTACACTATAGGAAAATTTTAAGATGACAACAGCAAAGATTGTTGTCAAATTATCAAAGTTTATTTATAATGACGTTAATGTTACTCACTAATCATGTCATAGTGCGCATGAATAAAAGTCAAGATGCAAATGCATATTTTTCTACAAATCTAAAACTATTTTATACGACTCATTTAAAGTTATATTTTGTACTGCACTGAGCTTAGATTTCTTCACGGATCTCCTAAAGTGAATGTACATCAGTGAATTCATTTGTTTTTTGAACTATGTTTTCCACCAGGTGCAAGAACTTTAATAATAGTTAGGGTAGTTGAGTTTAATGATAGCCATGTTCAGCATTTATAAAGTTCAGAATCTCCGAGAGTGATGGAGTTGAGATCTTTCTCTAAACCCTATTCTAGTTAGACAAACGTTTTTAGAAGTAAAATCATGCAAGGCTCCTTTAAGAAAAATCTTTGGGGTCTCTGTTACAGACCTTTAAAGTTGAGAACAGTTTAGAAAATCTGCCTGGCAGATATTTAAAATCATAACGTCCTATTTCCTCAAGAGAAGCTTAAGCCTCGCATTTTATCTTGGCCTCCCTAAGAGAGACAGTTATCATTAGATTTTTATCGTGTTATGCTAAAATGTTCTTTTCCGTTTCTTTTTATTCTCTTTTCTATTGATTACCCAGATAAATTGCAACATCGCGCAAACATTTGTTTGAAAGATCTTCTGTATTTCTTATCTCGTATTCCATAAATGAAAGCATTTGTAATGGAGTTTGTTGCAGCCAGAAGCGAAATTCCAACGTTAACTTTTAGAGGAATACAGCGATGATTGCAAATGACAAGCTCGATAAAACCCATCACAGGAAACGGTGTTACACATAATAAGAAACAACCAAAAACGACACGGATTGTTTTGAAGAGTTTCATTTGTCGTGAAAAGTTTTTTCTTGAGTTCAAATCATCTGTAGCCGTTGAATTATTTGTTTGTGATAATGAAGCTTGTGCTGCTATTTTTTGACCTTGAATTCGAGCAATTTGTACAGTTTTCACATTAAAACGATCGTAACACCAAGTGGAACAAAGAAAAAGAAAAAAGTACCAACTGAACCAGCTATTTGGTCGACATCACATATGAATGGCATATCGCTAGGTCTCGATATGAAAAATATCATAACAAAATTAAGAAAGCCAGTGATCCATACTGAAACCAAAGCCATAGACACCTTTCTTTGGGTGACAATTTGAGGATACTTTAAGGGTAATGCAATACAAATGTAACGATCAATTGTGAGCATCATGAGATTCACCAGAGAAAGCGATATACTTGCGCACCAAATGGAAAAGAATAATTCGCAAGTTAGGCCTGTTTTTCCCATCAAAACGAGTATATTTTTTGCGATAGTCATCGGGAAAGTTATCCCACAAACGACAAGATCCGACAAAGCCAAATTAATAACAAAATAACTGGTCGTGTTTTTATCTTTATTCCAACGAACATTGTGCCATATCACCAAAACGTTTCCTGTAACTCCAATTATTATAAACAATGATTCAAATGTTATTAGAAATATCGCAAGAGTTTGTGGTATTTGGTTATTTATAGAATTCATTGTTCTTTTTCATCAGTTTTTAGTCTCGTTTGTGAGAGAATCCTTGGATGAAATAAGAACAACAGCTTTCGTATCAAACTAAGTAGTCAAATGCTAATATTGAACTGCGTGCTTCATGACAACGTTAACACCAGATGTGTTTTGAAAACTTTATTTAGATGAAAGTTTTCTAGCTAACATTGGCATAACAAATTCATTTACGATAGTTTGATAAAGCAGTCATTACTATATGTTAAATATATGTGCTTTGAAACGTAATCATTTCTATTTTATGAGTGTTTCAGTTACAAATTTAAAGACCGAGGTTAAAATATAAATGTGTCGTAAGAAAGAGAAGTGGCGCGGGGAATAGTCCTATGTTATTTAGATAACTATGAAAAAAGGATACTCTTTAAAATTATTATAAACAATGATTCAAATGTTATTAGAAATATCACGAAAGTTTGTGGTATTTGGTTGTTTGTAGAGTTCATTGTTCTTTTTCATCAGTTTTTAGTCTCGTTTGTAAGAGATGCCTTGGATGAAATAAGAACAACAGCTTTCGTATCAACCTGAGTAGTCGAATGCTAATATTGAACTGCGTGCTTCATGACAACGTCAACACCAGATGTGTTTTGAAAACTTTAGTTAGATGAAAGTTTATTAGCTAACTTTGGCATAACAAATTCATTTACGATAGTTTGATAAAGCAGTCATTCCGATATGTTAAATATATGTGCTTTGAAACGTAATCATTTCTATTTTATGAGTGTTTCAGTTACAAATTTAAAGACCGAGGTTAAAATATAAATGTGTCGTAAGAAAGAGAAGTGGCGCGGGGAATAGTCCTATGTTATTTAGATAACTATGAAAAAAGGATACTCTTTAAAATTATTATAAACAATGATTCAAATGTTATTAGAAATATCACGAAAGTTTGTGGTATTTGGTTGTTTGTAGAGTTCATTGTTCTTTTTCATCAGTTTTTAGTCTCGTTTGTAAGAGATGCCTTGATGAAATAAGAACAACAGCTTTCGTATCAACCTAAGTAGTCAAATGCTAATATTGAACTGCGTGCTTCATGACAACGTTAACACCAGATGTGTTTTGAAAACTTTATTTAGATGAAAGTTTATTAGCTAACATTGACATAACAAATTCATTTTTCGATAGTTTGATAAAGCAGTCATTACGATATGTTAAATATAATTGCTTAAAACGTAATCATTTCTATTTTATGAGTGTTTCAGTTACAAATTTAAAGATCGATGATAAAATATAAATGTGTTGTAAGAAAGAGAGGTGGCGCGGAAATAGTCCTATGTTATTTAGATAACTTTGAAAAAAGGATACTCTTTAAAATTATTATAAACAATGATGATTCAAATGTTATTAGAAATATCACGAAAGTTTGTGGTATTTGGTTGTTTGTAGAATTCATTGTTTTCATCAGTTTTTAGTCTCGTTTGTAAGAGAATCCTTGGATGTAATAAGAACAACAGCTTTCGTATCAACCTAAGTAGTCAAATGCTAATATTGAACTGCGTGCTTCATGACAACGTTAACACCTGATGTGTTTTGAAAACTTTATTTAGATGAAAGTTTATTAGCTAACATTGACAAAACAAATTCATTTTTCGATAGTTTGATAAAGCAGTCATTACGATATGTTAAATATAATTGCTTAAAAACGTAATCATTTCTATTTTATGAGTGTTTCAGTTACAAATTTAAAGATCAAGGATAAAATATAAATGTGTTGTAAGAAAGAAGTGGCGCGGGGAATAGTCCTATGTTATTTAGATAACTATGAAAAAAAGATACTCTTTAAAATTATTATAAACAATGATTCAAATGTTATTAGAAATATCACGAAAGTTTGTGGTATTTGGTTGTTTGTAGAATTCATTGTTCTTTTTCATCAGTTTTTAGTCTCGTTTGTAAGAGATTCCTTGGATGTAATAAGAACAACAGCTTTCGTATCAACCTAAGTAGTCAAATGCTAATATTGAACTGCATGCTTCATGACAACGTTAACACCAGATGTGTTTTGAAAACTTTATTTAGATGAAAATTTATTAGCTAACATTGACATAACAAATTCATTTTTCGATAGTTTGATAAAGCAGTCATTACGATATGTTAAATATAATTGCTTAAAAACGTAATCATTTATATTTTATGAGTGTTTCAGTTAAAATTTAAAGATCGAGGATAAAATATAAATGTGTTGTAAGAAAGAGAGGTGGCGCGGGGAATAGTCCTATGTTATTTAGATAACTATGAAAAAAAGATACTCTTTAAAATTTTACTTCTGTGTCATAATGTGGAGTCACTTTCAATAATTTCGTCACAGAGTGCATTGTCTCAGGTTAAATTACGATATTGCAAACCCCCTGTGGCCTTTTTTATTAAAAATACATTAAAGGAAAACACGATTTTCTGTTTTTATTATTCTAAATAATGAAATATTTCATCGACATCTTCTTTAGTTATTGCTAGCGAACGCCGGCTACTAACAATGAAGTCTCGCTTTATGATGGTCTGTTATGGCTTCATTACAAGGAGGTCACTTTTCTTTGAAAAGTTTTTATTAAAACGTAGCGGAAACGATTAAAATTCCTTATAGCGTGTAAAAGTTTATAGTGTTAGAGACTAGAAAATGTCAAAAAATTGTGTAAACGTTAAGTGAACTAGAGATACCCTTCATGCTTAAACTTAGTAAAAGTATTGATTGACATGTAAAAATTCCCTTTAAAATACTTTGAAAAATGACATTGGATTCATGATACATTTCATTAAAACTTTTGAACGATTTCAAAGACAAAATAATCTCAACCGTTTATAAATAAAAATGATAACGATCCAAATATTCCCGTTTGGATGAAGGAAGGATTTTATCATGTGTACTTTAGTTTTGCAAAGCAAACTAGAGTATATGTAATAATTTATCGTAACCAATACTTTAATTTCACCGGGGCATTTTTATTTCATTTTTAGTACGAGCGGGAAAACTCTCTGAAAAATGATCTCAAAGCTGATGTAAATGGTAATGTTTAAACGTTTAAACTTGGTTTCTACATTCAGTTTTTAATTTATAACTGTTGCTATCTTGAAAACAATACATTCAATAATGTCGTTGTTTCCTTATTAAACTTCTTGGTGACTTTGTTGTAAAACTGTTGCATCTTCTCTTGTCTATTTTGGAAAGAATCAGTTTATAAAAATCATCCTAATTCATACAGTTTTTATTTTGAACATAGAAAAGTCAAGTTATTTTATTCTTACTGCAGGTGTACAAGAAAAGTATTTGAAGTCTGTAGCACCTGTCGAAAAGCCCGCACAACCTGCGCCAGCCTGGAAACGCACAGCCGAGGAATGGGAACGAGATCGTATAGATTTGGCTAAACTAGAATACGGCAAACATGCATTACGTCATCGTGAAGTTCCGCCATATTTTGAAACGGCGAAGGGTCAAGCTTTTCTAAGTGCTTTAAATCGCGGTCCTGATATGTTGAAGCTCAGTGCTGAACTCGACAAACAAGCTTGTCCAGTTTCTAGTTCGCTTCACACTGCAATGAGTGCATCAACAGAAATTTTAGATCAGAGGCATCAAACTTCTCATCGTACGTTACTGCACATAGTTTGAGACACTCTTTTTAATTAATAAACGTACTTTTTCTTTCTTACTGCTATAGAAAATGTTCCGCAAACTTCAAACTGGTCTAGGTCATCGGTTTTAGAGAACCCAGATCTTGATAGAGGACAATCGCCTGGGGATGTCTCTCCAGTCGAAAGTAGTACACCATTTGTCAGTCGTCCAGTGAATCCTACTCCTGCACAAGCTGGTGGTGTACCTACCTCCCCGTCGACACGACCCACCAACCCCACCCCCCGTCAAGCATCGACTGTCTTGAGCAATGAAAGTGTTTTAGATTCCCCCCGTACCAAACAATCTATAGTCCGAAGTTCAACTTTGGAATCATTGTTGGAAATGCAACATGAAGTATTGAGTTCAGATGTTACGTCATCAAGTAAGTGATATTGGTGCAATGTGTAGTACGTAAGAACAGCATTTATGTTTATGTTAACGTTACACAGAGACATCTTGTGATAATCATGACAATTTACCCAAAGTTATCATGGGTGGAAAACCTGGTGCTCTACCAAACTCTCAGGTGAGACGATAACAAAATTTTAAAATATTGGACACAGACAAAAGTTTAATTTCCTTGTGAGGTCACAGATTACGTTACAATTGCCTCGGTATAAAATAGTGGTATCGAGGCATTGGTGGTTTAGTGGTAGAATTCTCGCCTGCCACGCGGGAGGCCCGGGTTCGATTCCCGGCCAATGCATCTTTCTTTTTGAACACTTCAACTTTATTTGTTTATTGTATTTTGTAGTTGGTTCACAGTTCGTTTCTTCACTTAACATGTGCCTTCTCTTTTACCTGGACAAAGGACTAGTTGTGCTAAGCAGTCGCTGAATAGTGAAGATTGCGCTATTTATGAAAATGCGGGCTCGTGCCAACTCTTAGAAAGGTGCAATGCGCAGACATATGTTCCAAAATAATTTTAAATTTGGTCAAAATCATATTTATAGCTGACAGTTTTTTACATTGGTCCACATTTAATAAACTTTATGATGCTTTCATTTCATTTTGTTATTTTGACCTTGTTTTATAGAATCGTAACATTATTTTGCATGAAATTATTTGTCTTTAACGGCAAAAGTTGCTCAATTGGTAATGATTTTCAGCGCAAGTCATTAGAATAATATTTTTAAGGAATTTATGATGAAATCGTAAAAAGCGGGGCTCAGGCGGGAATCGAACCCGCGGCCTCTCGCACCCAAAGCGAGAATCATACCACTAGACCACTGAGCCTTGGTTCTTAAATAATTGTGGACGATGTTTTATATAAAATAATGAAAATACCTGTAAAACAACGTGTACTTTGTTGTATATTCGCACGTGTCGACGTTGTCTTGGCAACTATTACAGGTCATGACCTTTAATTCAGTGGTTATTTTCACATGTTAATAAACACTTGTTGTGTTGGCTATTGTTAATATGAGAAGATTTACTCATAAAAATACAGTTCCCCAAAAAAAACAGAGCTCTTGTTGCTGAAATTTTCGTCTCTTAGTTGTAGCTTGCTTCAAAAGTTGCTTAGCAAATTTTAAATCGATAATAGCTTAAATACGACATGTGAAAATTCATTTCAATTTTCATGTCGACTTAAATTAGTTTTTACTGAATTAAATAATATAAAATGAAGGACAGATTTATAAAATTTGAAAATGCGTTACATTTTCTTTTGAAAAATCTTTAAAAACATCAGTGTTTGTAAAGAACATAGAGAAACTAATTTTTTATGTCTATCAATCAGAAACCCATGTTTTATAATTCCATTTTTTTTTGTTGCCTTGATCCTTTTATTCTTATTCTTCTCTGGGATATCAGTTTTAAAGATAGAGGATCCTGTCCGACGTAGAGTTCAAACTGCTTCTGTTATTGGAAAGAACAACACAAGAGGTTTTGAGCTTTCTCCACCAGAGGTGGACATGGGGTACTTAAAGAAGGTCACACGTATGTACATTCGGTGATATTAAGGAACATTGGTATTGATAGCTGTAGATTCAAAGTACGACAACCTCCTCCATCGACTGGTATCAAAGTTTTGTTTAATCATGGTCCAGTAAGTTTTTATTTTCAATTAATTATACATTCTTAAATACCCTTTCTACCGCTTAATCCCTTAAGTATACCCCCTTTACCCTCGGTATAACCTATTGCGTGTGTATAGTTCAGTATAAATTAGCATCAATGATAATATCAAGGCATACGACTCGAAAATTTTGCTGTTTAAATTATATTTTATCTCAACAGGATTTTGAAAATGACAGCGTATTTTCAAAAAGTGTACGTACATTACTTCTCATTCTCAAGATATTGAAGTTTTATAATTCGCTTTACACAAATTTTACATCATTTTGCATTTAACAAAGTTTTAAGCATCCTTTGGTTTCGTTGAAAGATCAAGCATTATTTAATACCATTAATTCTTCACAATGAAGGGAATTTTGCTCTGTTAAAGTAAAATATCAGCAAATGTACCTGCTTTCATTATGAAATGTGACGTCACATGCTGTGTAAAGCACAGTGCATAAACTACAATATCTTGAGAAAGAAAATTGATATGAATAAACTGTTTTAGAAGATTTTCATGGTAACCTTCAATGAAAATATAATATAAATGGCATAATTTTCCAATAATAAGCTCTTACATTGACAAGCAACAAAGCAATTTCTATTGTGCTGCTTGATCGGCTAATAGACTGCAATGGTTGGGAATGACACGCGTTTTCAATGAAATAAAACCTGTGTCTTACTTTTTCTTTCGTTGTTGCATTTTATTACATAGGTTGCAGCAGGAATGACGAGAAAACTAGACATTGAAATGTTTGCTGTAGCTGTTGGTGTATCTGGAGAAAGTGGAGTTGGATCTGTTGGTCATCACATTGAAATAATTGGCGAAAATGAAATTTTTTATCTTCCTGTGTCGGCCAGTATCCTTTAATTTTATGAATAAATTGTGTGACAGGAATATTTATATTATAAAATACATAGAATGAGAACAGTCTTTACGCTGCATAAAATATATAAGAAATGAGATGACGTATGTCTGTGTAGGTGGTGATGAATGAACAACAGAGAAGAACACTTTACACTACATAAAATATATAAGAAATAAGATAACGTGTGTCAGTGTAGGTAGTGATGAATGAACAACAAAGAACGAGAACATCTTTACACTACATAAAATATATAAGAAATAAGATAACGTGTGTCTCTGTAAATAAAGATGAATGAACAACAGAGAACGAGAACAGTTTTACACTACATAAAATATATAAGAAATAAGATAACGTGTGTCTCTGTAAATAAAAATGAATGAACAACAGAGAACGAGAACAGTCTTTACACTACATAAAATATATAAGAAATAAGATAACGTGTGTCTCTGTAAATAAAAATGAATGAACAACTGAGAACGAGAACAGTCTTTACACTACATAAAATATATAAGAAATGAGATAACGTGTGTCTCTGTAAATAAAGATGAATGAACAACAGAGAACAAGAACAGTCTTTACACTACATAAAATATATAAGAAATAGGATAACGTGTGTCTCTGTAAATAACGATGAATGAACAACTGAGAACGAGAACAGTCTTTACACTACATAAAATATATAAGAAATGAGATAACGTGTGTCTCTGTAAATAAAGATGAATGAACAACAGAGAACAAGAACAGTCTTTACACTACATAAAATATATAAGAAATAAGATAACGCATGTCAGTGTAGGTAGTGATGAATGAACAACAGAGAACGAGAACAGTCTTTACACTACATAAAATATATAAGAAATAAGATAACGTGTCTCTGTAAATAAAGATGAATGAACAACAGAGAACAAGAACAGTCTTTACACTACATAAAATATATAAGAAATAAGATAACGCATGTCAGTGTAGGTAGTGAATGAACAACAGAGAACGAGAACAGTTTTTACACTACATAAAATATATAAGAAATAAGATAACGTGTCTCTGTAAATAAAGATGAATGAACAACAGAGAACGAAAGTCTTTACACTACATAAAATATATAAGAAATAAGATAACGTGCGTCTCTGTAAATAACGATGAATGAACAACAGAGAACGAGAACAGTTTTACACTATCTAAAACATATAGAAATAAGAAAAATTGTGTCAGTGTAGATAGTGATGAATGAACAACAGAGAACAAGAACTGTCAACTTAGTTACAAATCATAGCATTCTTTAATGATATTCTCAGCTATTTTAACCGCTTATGAGTATGACAATCGTTCAAATTCGTTTCCCAAGGTTATCTCAGTAAAGGAACTTGTATGATTGACAATCGACCATCATCAAGAGACGCTATTCTTCCTCGAAGAAATCATATATATTCTGATGTTTCTGAACAATTTTAAACTTCCTAGGATGTTCTATGTATTCTGCGTATAGTTTTTTACCATTGAGTAATTTTTGTTACATAAATTATAAATTATATTTATATCTTCTTGTGACCCGAAACTTACAATCGCTTTCAAAATTATGGCATGAATTTGATTTAGGGGCCGATTACATGAGCCCGCGGTAACTGGAGTTCAGAGAGGCGGGAAATGATTTTGATTCATCGAAAGGAGTAAAATTTTAAGTGCAAAACTTTTCGTATTCGTTAGTTGTAATTTTTAAATCAGGCTAAATTATTTGTTTTCATTTTAAAGGTTTTGTAAATTTGCAAAGTCAGAGCATAGAGAATTTGCTCAAATAAGTTTTTCCGTGAAGTATTTAATCCTTTCCATTTGCCAAAATGATTTAACGCTTCGCTTAATCCCGGCTACCGTGCTCATGTGAACAGCCCCTTTATTTGTATTCGAGTTGTATGTTTTTGTTCATGGTCAGCGAGGGAATAAAGAAAAGAATAAAGCTATTTAATTGTGAAGTCTGTTTTAAATTTATTCAGTGAACTAGTGTATGAATTTGCTTTGCAAATACATATGGTAGTTTTACTGTCGTCGAAGTTTTCGATGGTTCATAAAAGTTTTCAAGTTAGTGGAAAGGATGTTGTCTATGCGAGGAAAAGACTGTCAACATAACAGGACATAAAATGTGAGGATGGAATAAGGTAAACCTTAGAATAACAAACTTCGAGAATGTGAAGAAAGAGCAAAAGATTTACTTGTTTCTTAAGTATTGACGATGTAACAGTCGAAAGATAGCTATTAACAACTGACTTGGTAACTTGCCCTCGAGGTAATGTAATTTTAATCAACTTTAAAGCGGAAACATCCATAACGTTTTCCACTCACCAGAACTGTGAAGGACTCAAGTGCTGAAAATTCAACCGAAGCAAGTTAACGCAATTTCTACACTCGACTGGCAAGAAGAATGAAATGTTTAAATAAGGCGTATTAGCTTAATACTGATTAAGGATGTTTAGTCCAAACGTTCCTCGTAAATATATTGATGGTATGCACATGTTTGTGGGATGGAGTGAAGACAACCGTAGTGTAGGTTTTTGTGTTACAGAGTAAAAAGAGAGCAAATGGATTGGTTGAAAAGGTGAGCATTTTTTAATCATAAAGCGGTTATATTATCATACGAGACTGCCTATATATTTTTATTACATCAAGACATATATGATAGTATTATTTATCGTTACAGTATAGAAAAATTTTAAGATGACAACAGTAAAGATTGTTGTCAAATTATCAAATTTTGTTTATAATGACGTCAATGTTACTCACTAATCATGTCATAGTGCGCATGAATAAAAGTCAAGATGGAAATGCATATTTTTCTACAAATCTATAACTATTTTATACGACTCATTTAAAGTTATATTTTGTACTGCACTGAGCTTAGATTTCTACAAGGATCTCTTAAAGTGAATGTACATCAGTGAATTCATTTGTTTTTTGAACTATGTTTTCCACCAGGTGCAAGAACTTTAATAATAGTTAGGGTAGTTGAGTTTAATGATAGCCATGTTCAGCATTTATAAAGTTCAAAATCTCCGAGAGTGATGAAGTTGAGATCTTTCTCTAAACCCCTATTCTAGTTAGACACACGATTTTAGAGAAGTAAAATCATGCAAGGCTCCTTTAAGAAAAAACTTTGGGGTCTCTGTTACAGACCTTTAAAGTTGAGAACAGTTTAGAAAATCTGCCTGGCAGATATTTAAAATCATAACGTCCTATTTCCTCAAGAGAGCCTTAAGCCTCACATTTTATCTTGGCGTCCTAAGAGAGACAGTTATCATTAGATTTTTTTTGTGTTATGCTAAAATGTTCTTTTCCGTTTCTTTTTATTCTCTTTTCTATTGATTACCCAGATGAATTGCAACATCGCGCAAACATTTGTTTGAAAGATCTTCTGTATTTCTTATCTCGTATTCCATAAATGAAAGCATTTGTAATGGAGTTTGTTGCAGCCAGAAGCGAAATTCCAATGTGAACTTTTAAAGAAATACAGCCACCATTACAAATGACAAACTTGATAAAACTATCACAGGAAAAGGTGTTACACAGAATAAAAAACAACCAAAAACGACACGGATTGTTTTGAAGAGTTTCATTTGTCGTGAAAAGTTTTTTCTTGAGTTCAAATCATCTGCAGCCGTTGAATTATTTGTTTTTGATAATGAAGCTTGTGCTGCTATTTTTCTACCTTGACTTCGAGCAATTTGTACAGTTTTCACATTGAAAACGATCGTAACACCAAGTGGAACAAAGAAAAAGAAAAAAGTACCAACTGAACAGCTATTTTGTTCATCTTACATATGAATGGCACATCGCTAGGTCTCGATGTGAAAAATATCATAAGAAAATAAAGCCAGTGATCCATACTAAAACCAAAGCTATAGACACCTTTCTTTGGGTGACAATTTGAGGATACTTTAGGGTAATGCAATACAAATGTAACGATCAATTGTGAGCATCATGATATTCACTACAGAAAGCGATAAACTTGCGTACAAAATGAAATGAATAATTCGCAAAGTAGGCCTGTTTTCCCCATCAAAACGGTGCATTTTTGCGATAGCCATCGGAAAGTTATCCCACAAACGACAAGATCCGACAAAGCCAAATTAATAACAAAATAACTGGTCGTATTTTTATCTTTATTCCAACGAACATTGTGCCATATCACCAAAACGTTTCCTGTAACTCCATTATTATAAACAATGATTCAAATGTTATTAGAAATATCACAAGGTTTGTGGTATTGGTTATTTGTAGAATTCATTGTTCTTTTCATCAGTTTTAGTCTCGTTTGTAAGAGATTTGGATGTAATAAGAACAACAGCTTTCGTATCAACCTAAGTAGTCAAATGCTAATATTGAACTGCGTGCTTCATGGCAACGTTAACACCAGATGTGTTTTAAAACTTTATTTAGATGAAAGTTTAAGCTAACATTGACATAACAAATTCATTTTTCGATAGTTTGATAAAGCAGTCATTACTATATGTTAAATATAATTGCTTAAAAACGTCATCATTTATATTTTATGAGTGTTTCAGTTACAAATTTAAAGATCAATGATAAAATATAAATGTGTCGTAAGAAAGAGAGGTGGCGCGGGGAATAGTTCTATGTTATTTAGATAACAATGAAAAAAGGATATTCTTTAAAAGTTTACTACTGTGTCATAATGTGGAGGCACTTTCAATAATTTCGTCACAGAGTGCATTGTCTCAGGTTAAATTACGATATTGCAAACCCCCTGTGGCCTTTTTTATTGAAAATACATTAAAGGAAAACACGGTTTTCTGTTTTTATTATTATAAATAATGAAATATTTCATCAACATTTTCTTTAGTTATTGCTAGCAAACGCCGGCTACTAACAATGAAGTCTCGCTTTATGATGGTCTGTTATGGCTTCATTACGAGGTCACTTTTCTTTGAAGAGTTTTATAAAACGTAGCGGAAACGATTAAAATTCCTTATAAGCGTGTATATGTTTATCGTGTTAGAGACTAGAAAACGTCAAAAATTGTGTGAACGTTAAGTGAACTAGACTACCCTTCATGCTTAAACTTAGTAAAACTATTGATTGACATGTAAAATTCCTTTAACAAACTTTGAAAAATGACATTGGATTCATGATATATTTCATCAAAACATTTGAACGATATCAAAGGCAAAATAATTTCAACCGTTTATAAAGAAGAATGATAACAATCCAAATATTCCCGGCCGGATGAAGGAAAGATTTTATCATGTGTACTTTAGTTTTACAAAGCAAACTAGAGTATATGTAATAATTTATCGTAACTAATACTTTGAGTTCACAGGGCATTTTAATTATATTTTTAGTACAGGCGAGAAAATTCTCTAAAAAATGATCTCAAAGCTGATGTAAATGGTAATGTTTAAACTTGGTTTCTATTTAGTTTTTAATTTTCACTGTCGCTATCATGAAAACAATACATTCAATAGTGTCGTTGTTTCTTTATTAAACTTCTTGGTGACTTTGTTGTAAAATTGTTGCATCTTCTTTTGTCTATTTTGGAAAGAATCAGTTTATAAAAATCATCGTAATTCATACAGTTTTTATTTTGAACATAGAAAAGTCAAGTTATTTTATTTTTACTGCAGGTGTACAAGAAAAGTATTTGAAGTCTGTAGCACCTGTCGAAAAGCCCGCACCACCTGCGCCAGCCTGGAAACGCACGGCCGAGGAATGGAACGAGATCGTATAGATTTGGCTAAACTGGAATACGGCAAACATGCATTAGTCATCGTGAAGTTCCGCCATATTTTGAAACGGCGAAGGGTCAAGCTTTTCTAAGTGCTTTAAATCGCGGTCCTGATATGTTGAAGCTCAGTGCTGAACTCGACAAACAAGCTTGTCCAGTTTCTAGTTCGCTTCACACTACAATGTGTGCATCAACAGAAATCATAGATCAGAGGCATCAAACTTCTCATGGTACGTTATGGTATATAGTTGGAGAAACTCCTTTTATACGTACTTTTCTTTCTTACTGCTATAGAAAATTCCGCAATCTTCAAACTGGTCTAGGTCAGCGGTTTTAGAGAACCAGATCTTGATAGATGACAATCGCCTGGGATGTCTCTCCAGTCGAAGTAGTACACCATTTGTCAGTCGTCCAGTGAATCCTACCTGCACAGCTGGTGGTGTACCTACCTCCCCGTCGACACGACCCACAACCCCACCCCATCAAGCATCGACTGTCTTGTGAGCAATGAAAGTGTTTTAGATTCCCCCATACCAAACAATCTATAGTCCGAGTTCGACTTTAGAATCATTGTTGGAAATGCAACATGAGTATTGAGTTCAGATGTTACGTCATCAAGTAAGTTATAATTGGTGCAATGTGTAGTACGTAAAAACAGCATTTATGTTTATGTTATCGTTACACAGAGACATCTTGTGATAATCATGATAATTTACCCAAAGTTATCATGGGTGGAAAACCTGGTGCTCTACCAAACTCTCAGGTGAGATGATAACAAAATTTTAAAACATTGGACACAGACAAAAGTTTAATTTGCTTCTGAGGTCCATATTACGTTACAATTGCCTCGGTATCAATTATTGGTATCTCAGTGGTAGAATTCTCGCCTGCCACGCGGGAGGCCCGGGTTCGATTCCCGGCCAATGCATCTTTCTTTTGAACCTTCAACTTTGTTTGTTTATTGTATTTTGTAATTGGTTCTCAGTTCGTTTCTTCACTAACATGTGCCTTCAGTGCTTTTTACCTGGACGGTGGACTAGTTGTGCTAAGCAGTCGCTGAATAGTGAAGATTGCGCTATTTATGCAAATGCGGAATTCAATTCTTAAAAAGTTGCAATGCGCAGACATATGTTCCAAAATAATTTTAAATTTGGTCAAAATCATATTTATAGCTGACAGTTTTTTTTGCATTGGTCCACATTTAGTAAACTTTATGATGCTTTCATTTCATTTTGTTATTTTGACTGTTTTATAGAATCGTAACAATTTTTTGCATGAAATTATTTGTCTTTATCGGCAAAGTTGCTCAATTGGTAATGATCTGTCATCGCAAGTCATTACAGAAATATTTTCTGAAGGAATTTATGATGAAATCGTAAAAGCGGGGCTCAGGCGAGAATCGAACCGCGGCCTCTCGCACCAAAGCGAGAATCATACCACTAGACCACTGAGCCTTGGTTCTTAAAGAATTGTGGATGATGTTTTACATAAAATAATGAAAATACCGGTAAAACAACGTGTACTTTGTTGTAAATTCGCACGTGCGTCGACGTTGTCTTGGCAACTATTACAGGTCGTGACCTCAAATTTAGTGGTTATTTTCACATGTAATTAAACACTTGTTGTGTTGGCTATTTAATAACATGAGAAGATTTACTCATAAAATACAGTTTCCCCAAAAACAGAGCTCTTGTTGCTGAAATTTTCGTCCCTTAGTTGTAGCTTGCTTCAAAAGTTGCTTGAGTAAATTTTAAATCGAAAATGGCTTCTAAATACGACATCATGTGAAAATTCATTTCAATTTTCATATCGACTCAAAATATTTTCAACTGAATTAAATAAGATAAAACGAAGGACAGATATATAAAATTTGAAAATACGTTACATTTTCTTTTGAAAAATCTTTAAAATCATCAGTGTTTGTAAAGGACATAGAGAAACTAATTTTTCATGTCTATCAATCAGAAACCCATGTTTTATAATTCCATTTTTTTTGTTGCCTTGATCCTTTTTATTTCTTATTCTTCTCTGGGATATCAGTTTTTAAAGATAGAGGATCCTGTCCGACGTAAAGTTCAAACTGCTTCTGTTATTGGAAAGAACAACACAAGAGGTTTTGAGCTTTCTCCACCTGAGGTGGACATGGGGGTACTTAAAGAAGGTCACACGTATGTACATTCGGTGATATTAAGGAACATTGGTATTGATAGCTGTAGATTCAAAGTACGACAACCTCCTCCATCGACTGGTATCAAAGTTTTATTTAATCATGGTCCTGTAAGTTTTTTGTTTTCAATTAATTATATATTCTTAAATACCCTTTCTACCGCTTATAATCCCCTAAGTATACCCCCTTTACCCTCAGTATAACCTACTGCGTGATAATTTCAAGGCATACGACTCGAAAATTTTGCTATTTAAATTATATTTTCACTCAACAGGATTTTGAAACTGACAGCGTATTTTCTAAACAGTGTACGTATATTGCTTCTCATTCTCAAGATATTGAAGTTTTTATAATTCGCTTTACACAAATTTTACATCATTTTGCATTTAACAAAGTTTTAAACATCCTTTGGTTTTTGATCAAGCAATATTTAATACCATTAGGGAGAGAATGAAGGAATTCTGCTCTGTTGAAGTAAAATATCAGCAAATGTACCTGCTATTTCAAATTTTATTATACAATGTGACGTCACATGCTGTGTAAAGCGTACAGTACATAAACTATAATATCTCGAGAAGAAAATTGATATGAATAAACTGTTTTAGAAGATTCAAACGTTCAAAGAAAATATAATATTAATAGCACAATTTTCCAATCATAGCTCTTACATTGAAAAGCAAAAGCAATTTCTATTGTGCTGCTTGATCGGCTAATAAACTGCAATGGTTGTGAATGACATACGTTTTCAATGAAATAAAACCTGTGCTTACTTTTTTTTGGTTGTTGCATTTTATTTTATAGATTGCAGCAGGAATGACGAGAAAACTAGACATTGAAATGTTTGCTGTAGCTGTTGGTGTATCTGGAGAAAGTGGAGTTGGATCTGTTGGTCATCACATTGAAATAATTGGCGAAAATGAAATTTTTATCTTCCTGTATCGCCAGTATCCTTTAATTTCATGAATAGTTTGTGTGACAGGAATGTTTATATTATAAAATTCATGCTCATACAGAAAATGAGAACAGTCTTTACGCTGCATAAGTATATAAGAAATAAGATGACGTATGTCTGTGTAGGTAGTGATGAATGAACAACAGAGAATGAGAACATCTTTACACTACATAAAATATATAAGAAATAAGATAACGTGTCTGTAGTGAGGTAGTGATGAATGAACAACAAAGAACGAGAACATCTTTATACCACATAAAATATTTAGAAATAAGATAACGTGTCTCTGTAAATAAAGATGAATGAACACAGAGAACAAGAACAGTTTTTACCCGATCCAAAACATAAAAGAAATAAGATAAAGTGTGTGAGTGTAGATAGTGATGAATGAACAACAGAGAACAAAAACAGTCAACTTAGTTACAAATCATTGCATTCTTTAATGATATTGTCAGCTATTTTAACCGCTTATGAGTATGACAATCGTTAAAATTCGTTTCCCCAAGGTTATCTCAGTAAAGGAACTCGTATGATTGACAATCGACCACCATCAAGAGACGCTATTCGTCCTCAGAAGAAATCATATGTATTCTGATGTTTCTGAACAATTTTAAACTTCATAGATTGTTTTATGTATTCTGTGTATAGTTTTTATCATTGAGTAATTTTTTACATAAATTATAAATTATATTTATATCTTCTAGTGACCCGAAAGTTACAATCGCTTTCAAAATTATGGCATCAATTTGTATGATTTAGGGGCTGATTACATGAGCCGGTAACCTGAATTCAGAGAGGCGGAATTGATTTTGAGTCATTGAAAGAAGCAAAATTTTAAGCGCAAAATTTTCTTATGCGTTAGTTGTAACTTTCAAATCATGCACAATTATTTGTTTTCATTTTAAAGATTTTGTAAATTTTCAAGTCAGAGCATAGAGAAATTGCTCAAACAAGTTTTTCGTGAAGTATTTAATCTTTCCATTTGCCAAAATGATTTAACGCTTCGCTGAATCCGGCTGGGCTCATGTGAACAGCCCCTTAAATTTGTATTCGAGTTGTACGTTTTAGTGAATTTTGAATAACATTGATGGCGTTCAAAGCGTGTATTGTTCATGGTCAGCAGGGAATAAAAGAAAGAATAGAGCTATTTATTTGTGAAGTCTGTTTTGAATTTATTCAGTGAACAGTGTATGAATGCTTTGCAAATACATATGAGTAGTTTTACTGTCGTCGAAGTTTTCGATGGTTCATAAAAGTTTTCAAAAGTTAGTGGTAAGGACGTTGTCTATGCAAGGAAAAGACTGTAAACATAACAGGACATAAAATGGGAGGATGGAATAAGCTAAAGCAGAAAATAAACTTCGAGAATGTGAAGAAAATAGCGAAAGATTTACTTGTGTCTTAAATATTGGCGATGTAACAGTCGAAGAAGATAGCTATCACTTTTGCCCTCGAGGTAATGTAATTTTAATCAACTTTAAAGCGGAAACTTCCAGCCATTAACGTTTTCCACTCCCAGAAACGAAGGACTCAAGTGCTGAAAAGTCAACGAAACAAGATAATGCAATTTCTAATTTCGACTGGCAAGAAGAATGAAATGTTTAAATAAGGCGTATTAGCTTTAATACTGATTAAGGATGTTTAGTCCAAACGTTCCTCGTAAATATATTGATGATATGCACGTGTTTGTGGAATGGAGTAAAAGACAACCGTAGTGTAGGTTTTGTATTATTGCAGGACAAGCAGGGTTTAGGTTTTGAAGAAGACACATGTTATTATCTTTATTTTCTCTCTTACATTTGTTTCTGTTTCAGGTTCAAGACTCTAAACTCTTAGTTTTGGTCATTTTGTTCAATATAACCTTCAGACAGATTTGTTGCCAAACCACCATTTCACCAGGGGCGGATCTATTATGTCAAATCCGTCGCGCGACTGATGTTTGAAATTCAAAATTACCTATTCATATTAGTTAAAATTCATTAATTATTCTTACTTTATTATCGCATTTACTTCGTGATAAAATCCAGCTTTATTTATTATTGAAAACTAATGACTAATCCAATATGAATATCTCCTTGGTAACCAGATCAGTTGAATTTTAATTGCCTGGAATAACCGACTGATAAGCGGGGTGGCTTGACTGGTTCGACGGATAAAGTCTATGAACGTAAAACAGCTTATTTCATTGGTCAATAGCCAGATCAGTGGACGATCTGGAATAATCTCGACCGATAAGCGGGGTGGCCGGACCTATAAGGAGTCCACTTGCTATCTTGTAATTGGTTCATTTAAATTTTGTCTTACTGTGATTGGTTTGACCTATTTCGACTGATAGCCAACTGAACTAACATAGTCAAGCTCACTGTCTGAATTGAATGTTTGATCGTTTCATAATAATTTTTTCTAAAGCATGATAGAAACTAAACTACAATCAGATGGAGTTTATGGAAATCTTTTACAAATTCATATATTGACATGAATGCTGCTTTCCAAACTGGGAATTTTTTCAAGAGGGCGAAAAATTTATGGATGAATTGTAAATGCTTGGCAAAGACGATCTCGGAGCGACATTTCAGTCATTGATGTTCAAAAGCAAGCCAACATTGTTTTGAGTTTTATCAGCAGAAATTTACATCAAAATCGTAAGTAAGGACAACTGAAGTGTATGCATGAATGTAATATATCAAAGTCAATTTATGCGAGTGTGATGCGATTTATGTTAATATGGCGTATGGTAAGCAAATAGATGCTTCTAAAATTGTTGTTGTTGCCGAGGACTTTTAGCTATGATTTCTTTAATGCTTGGGAATCGGCCGTTATACGGCAGCGAAATCCTACATTCCTGCAAATATATTTCAATGGACAAAAATCTGTAGCCATAAGGCGCCATACTATTATTTACTTTATCATAAACAAGTGTTTGGGGCTTTTCAGTTTATGATCATTGATCATTCAATAGACAGTTATACTACATATTGTTTAAGATTTGAAAACTAACATTGATTACATGAGAAGCTGTTTACTATAACCTGTGATTTTGAGTCTTCTGATCCATGAAGCTTTTATTTTGACAATTTGACTGGAATGGTATTAAACCTGAGTATTTCACATAGATGAAATGTTGTCCCATGTCACATATTGTCCCCTTTCTGACTGAACACCTCATGTAGAGATGTAAGGTGTGTTAATCACGGCTCATACCAGATTGTTTGCCATAAATTCCAAAGGGCTATTGATGTATGAAAGCATTTTCTATAAAGTAAAAATGTCTTCCTATATGCAGATAAACCTTGAAATTTGGCAAAACAACAAAATATTTTCATGATCACTAGGTAATTCTGATGATCATTATAATTTCTAAACTAAATTATTTCAGATTTACATTAAACGAGCTTTGATCATATGAAAAGATATTTATCATAACCAGTAAGCATGACACATGAACCAATTTTAACATTCATGTAATTATATAATTAAAGACATGTTGGTTACATTCTGTTTGTATTTGATAATAAATGCTGCTAGTGATTGCTATATAGCACACCTTGAAGAAGATAATAGTCAGTGATAATGACCTAATAAACATTTATGGCATTAGGCTGTCCTTAACTGCAAATTTTCACTCTGATAATTTTTGCTTAATCTTTGGCAGAGAAAAATTTTGAGTTTTCTCAAAGGTGAATTGCTAATACTGATGTGGAGATGGGTAAAGGGTTACAATAAACTTGCATGGTTTGAAGTCTGAGCTTTTCTATATCTATGAACTGTCACTTGTAGTACCAAATTTCTAACTTAACTCATTACATAGTGGTTTGAATGGGGTCTCTAGAAGTCTATGCCTGACAACTTGGTAGAAATTTTTAAAGGCTATATCTGTTTTGAATATAGCATTATTGTAAAAAAATTTACGTTCCTAGACATGCTAATGAGCCATATATTTGGCATAATAATGAGCCTAAATATTTGGCAAAACATTCAAGTATTGTTCACTTCATTTTGTTTTTGAAAAACATTAACCAAAATGTGTTGTATTTACGCAAAACGATGCCCACAAAATACATTTTGTAATGCTCTAAAACGCTGAAAATGGCATTTTAAGGCTCTGAAATTCAAAATCTCTCAGGAGAGATAGCCTCAGACCCCCAGGTGCGGAGCGCCTCCGACGTTTATGACTGATGTTTGAAAAATCCTAGATCCGCCCCTGCATTTTCACCGACATCCATCAATATGGCGACTTCGTCTATTTCAACGTGAGAGACATGACTTTGAATATGCAAAATCATCAATATTAGCAAAGTAAATTGGTTAAAGGTGATCACTGTTTAATCATAAAATAGTTATTGATATTCTTGACATAGGATTGACTTTATTTATTTTATTACGTGAAGAATATATTATATATTACCAAAGCAAAATTCAAAATAAGAGGACAGCTTCAAAATGACATCATAGTGGCTACCCAATTTTACAGGAAGGTAAAATCAAGGAAGACTCCTTAAAGAACTTTGCTCTCTGGGTAGAGACTGTTTAGTTGAAATACAGTTGGAAGACTGAAGATAAAAAAAAGGCAATTTATTCACTAGTTATATCATAGTGAACATGAATTAAAGACAAACTAAACATCTTTCATAAAATTTAAACCTATTTTATACAACTCATTTTATTAAGTTATATTTTGTATTACACTACGTATTTACTATACACTACAAATTGGCTTTAGAACTATCTTCTTGTATCATCCAAGATTATTAAATATTTGAGGAACAGCAAAATTTCATCATTATTATCCAAGATTAATCTTCAACATTAACAAAGTAGTAGTAAGTCAAGGCCCACGACACTTGAGTGAGGAAAATGTTTCCTGCATCCTCGTCCTAGTTGGCCTCACGATTTCTTAAAACACCTAAACTTATTCAAGGCTCTATAGCCTATAGGAATACATCTGAGTAAAATAACCATTTACAATAATTTGAGTAGATAATTTAAAATGATAACGTCATTATGTCAGAAG